TCTCCATCAATCCTTTATAGTAGTGACTAATTAAGAGAGATGATTACCATGTTTTTGCAACTATGTCCAATCCGAAGCAGTTACCCACCAAATAAATGGGAAGATGGTTGTATGAATTGATAGAAGTTAAACATATCGACTATTGGATATTGATTCAGTAGCTTAGAGGTTAAACATTCTCACTTGAAGCCAGAGGTTCTGGGTTAGATTTCTGGCAATATCGTGGATGCACTCAGCTGAGGAGTCTTAAACAAGAATAAAACAGGTTTCCAGTGCTTCCTAGTTATTTAACTAAGATCAGCCTGTAATGTTATCTATGAAAGCTGGTATTCAATTTTTTTTAGACAATAAACTAATCGAAAGAACCTAGAAGAATGAATTACGTAAATTGTACTTTCATATTTCCAAATGAAATGAATAGAAAGGGTACTAATTTTGGGTTGTTTTTATGTTTTTTATCAACAACATATTGTTTGTTTACTAAAAACCAATAGATTAATGTGCCAAGTTGTATGGAAATGATGAACTGTTTTGGAAATAATTCCAGTGAAAATAAATTATAAGAATGAACCATTTAAGTTTAAGATATGCCCCCAAATGTTCTGATACGACCGAGGGTGGAGAGAGTCAGCTCCCCATTACCAAATACTCTCACATGGCCACACTTTTACAACCACTGACAGGGAAGTCCTACTCATTGCCTTCTTGTGAATGGGGTGTTGTTTTAGAAATTGGGACGACAAAAAGCAAATGTCCGGTGCTTTAACCGGGTTCGTGGATAAGGAGGATCCACCTAGGGGAGTTGAAAAACCCTCATTCCAAACCGATGATCCACATGGGCTCCAGTATCCTAAGGAACAAACGGTGTATCAACCTATTGTTATTCACCGGCTACCATGGGACTACATCTTCTTATGTTGCTCCACTGCTTTGTGGATCAGACCTTTAGGCCGGAGGCTCCGGGTGTGGCCTCCTAAGAAAAGCGTCTGCATCAGTCTGAGCACCCGGGTAGTACCACAACCCACACACAAATCAAGTGACTTGTGTGGCGCATTTGTATTCGGTTCCCTGTTTGTACCAATATTTATGTGTTCAAATAAATAAATAAATATAAATATTGAGTTATACTCTATCAGATAGTGTTGGCTGGCTTTTCATCTGCGCACTGCTTTGTTTCACTTTCTCGTTTCTTAACTCAATGTCTGTTTGAATAACTGAGTCTCTAAAGTAAATTCATCTAACCCGTATTTGGCTTCTTATTACCGTCGTCGCACAAATGGTATTAACCTAGTTGTAATATCCAAAGTAAAATGTTAGATTTCTATTCATGGCATATTCATTTATTCTTTCAAATCGGAGTCAGATCAATGGGCCATTAAAAGGCTAGGTTAGGCTTAAGATAATAGAGCTAAGTTAGGTAATCAAAGAAGATTGATATTCTCTTTATCAATCTTCGGCGAGATACCAGGTTTTGGATTTTAACTCATAGTTCATCTATCCATTTGGCTAACTAATGTTTAGTCATTTTAACTGATGTCAGTTCAAGATGAAAATCTTAATTCATCACATCAATTTATAAACCTCTTTTAACCCTATTAAGAATACATAGACATCATCAAGGTCACTTAAGTATCACTCATATGACAGTCTGACGAAATTCTCTTATTTTATATTATAAATTAATCATTCATAAAGCATGTTTTTCTGGGTGACTATAAAAATGGTTGAAGATTTAAATGGTCGTTTAGCCAGATACTTACTGCTTAACCCCCTTACAAGTTCAACCATTTCAGCAATCCTTGTTGCTTTTAATTCGTTAAAATTTGTGTATATTTACTAAAACAGAATAATAACATTATTACTATCATAAGCAAAGACGGATGGTGACTAACAGTGGAATTGAGGACACGTGTTTCATCCTAGTTGAGACTCGTCGGCTGGATGTACATTTATCCGGGTTAGTGTTCACCCCGGAACTCGAACCCAGTATCGTTCGCTTTAAACGCCATTGCGTTATCCATTTAGCTAAATATCAATCAGAAGATTTAAACAAACAATTCCAAATGAGTTTAAACTTTACTCCCATAGCACAAGCTAATGGTTATCAGGGCTCAGTAGCTAAGTGGATAACGTGATGGCGTTTGAAGCAAACGATACTGGACTCGAGTCCAGGAGTGAATACTAGATCTGGGATGCAAACACACACACACACACAACGAGTCTCAACTAGGACGAAACGCGCGTCCTGAATTCCACTGCTAGTTATCATCCGTCTTTGCTTGTAATACTTGTGACTTAGGACAGCATCGAGGCAATCTTCACAGGATGCAAATATGCCAACAAGAAACTAATCAATTGAAGCCCTAAACATCAATGGGAAGATTCAAACAATCAACACAAAATGACTAATAATATTATTGTTATTATGTTGAAATTTTTACTGTGTTATGCTATTTAGTACGGTATTGACTATATTAGTCAGTTTGTAGATGAGTCGAACGTTAATAACGCATATACATATCTCACTAGTTGAGATCATGAGTCAATTGAAGCTTCACTACCATGGAAAACCTGGAAGAACTAAAAGAACATTTCGTCCTACTGCGGGACTCCTCAGCATATACATATATATAGGTGCAGTATAGGGACGAGATTAAAACAACCTCAATTAATTTCTAACTAATTTCCAACTAATCAGAGAATAGCTTCGGTAAATAAATAGTTTATGGTAGAGGAAACAATAATATTGTGTGACTATAATTTATGGATAATATTTGAGAATATTCACGAGGCCTACTAGAGTCAGAAGAAGGTGATAAATTAGTGTAGGGAATTAGGAATTAAGACTTACAATTGAACGGTGGGGGTTAGAAATTAGAGTTAAGGTTTTATCAAGAACTAATATCAGCTATAATGTCAAAATGTTAATTAGGGGTGAGGATAAACTCCATTCTCGTTCGTCATTTTGACTTAGCACATGGCAACCAACTAAGATGAAAGGGAAATAATTATTTATACTGTCGCAGTCCATGACGAAGGGTATGCTTCGTTCTCTGTCGTTTCTAATTGCAGAAACACAAAAACACAACCGTAATTACTGACTACAATACACTTAAATGACTTGACAACACAGAGTTTAGCCCCACCCCTAATTAATTATGTAGATGAATGAATTTAACGCCAAAATCTAAAACTTGATGTCTTGAATCTGATTGGTTGGTCCATATCCTATGGTCTCATTCAATAATATTGGAATGTCAACAATGAACTTCTACATGTTACTCTGTCTATAAATTGGAAGAACAATGATAATATAAACTCATTCTAATGAATGTAGATTGTCCGTCTTCTCGAACATAGTCAAAAGGATCTAAATGTCATTACATTGTTACTAGTTAGAATTAGGTGTTCACAGGGTAAGGGATTAGGGATTTATGATTGAAGTTTGAATCACGAAAGGACATCATTTATAAGATTTTAAAAAATGCTCTGTAACCATATTAAAGAATGAATTGAGAGAAAATAACATGTAAGAGATGATATCTGATTAGTACTTTCATAAAATAGAATACCATCAGGTCAAGATTTGTTTCAGAATCAAGGGTACGGTTTCAATTTGTCTATCATATACAATCTATAGAAAAAGAATTAAGTATTTGATATGTTTATCACTATCATCTTACTGTAACTCCGCCTGGAGTCCCTCCGAGGGCTACTGCCGGTCCCAAGCACGGATAAAGGAGGAGGGTTGGGCATGGGGTTAGCGACCCCACCCCGTAGAAAACTAACTCGCTAAGCAAAACGCTAACCAGAAAAAATTATTCAAACCTTTTAAGCGAGGATCATCTTACTGTATAGTAGAAAGATATAGTGGCGTGACTATAATTTCTGAACGGGCCAATCAGATTAAAGATAGTAGATCCTGGATTTCGCCCCGGAATTCATTCATCCGTTTGGCTAAATAGAGTTTTGGCATTTTAGCTGATGTCATTTCATGATGAAGGCCATAAATCTAAATCCTAACCACTAACTATCAATGGTAAATTGTAATCTTCCTCGCACTGATTTATAACCTTCATTTAGCCCTAGTAAGTAGATGGACATTCTGAAGGTCACTTTAGCGTCTCCTCGGAATCATCCATAAATTATAGTCTCACTGAACATTTTACGCTATATACAACGTTAGTTCCACTTCTCGCTATACATGATATTTGAGTTGTGCACAAAAACTTGAAGGTCATGTACTCGATTTTGATTGGTTCTTCCCAGAACTATTATTTTTCACTCTAGATTCTTTCTAAAATCTTCGTAACTTTTTTAATTTTTCGGAAACGGTAAATTAATTTTGATGGTTTTTGGTTCTGTAAGATGGATGGTTTGGTCGTGAAGCTTTCATCGTTCTTCTGAACGACATCATCAACACAAACGTCAGGTAGAAGTGAAGTGTAGAGAAATCGATGTCGTTCAGAAGAACGATGAAAGCTCCACGACCAAACCATCCATGTCAGAGAACAAACCTCCAACCAAAATCATCCACCTAAGCTACAAATCTTCTCCATCACCTCACAGTAAATTAATTCATTGCATAAAATTACTATGCAAAGAAGTTGTAATCAAATTTATACTTATATGTTATGTAACAACCGGTAGAAAGAACAGTATACATAATGAACACGCTTTAATTCGGTTATTTTACAATCAGACTTCTTACCGTGTTATCGTAAATAGCTATAAATTATTGTTCATACCAACATTTATCTCATCCAACAGATTGAACAAATTAGTATCCATCAGTTGAAGTCACTGTGTAGGTTTATGTACGTATGTATGCATGTGTGTGTGTGTGTAAGTATGAGATAGATATACATAGATTGGGAAGAAGAGTTAGTCAAAAACAACTTGGCAACAAGAAGACCATATAGATATATATAAACAGAGGCAAATTATCAAGGAATTCTTCAAAATTTATATACATAAAACATCAATTCCCAATTACTTACCAGGTACATAATGTGATGTATGATGTCCATCTATAGTGAAATTGAATCGTGCTTTATCTCGATCCATTGTAATCACATGCATACGACCATCATTAAATATTTGTGATGGTTTACTAAGAGTGAATTCAGCACCGTTGATATCGGCGTATAGTTTTCCATCACGCTGTGAGAATAATCAATAAAGGAGGGAGAGAATGATGTATAGAATTACAAAATTAATAATAGGTAAGGTACTATAAAATTGATAGAACAATGTTAGACTATCATTGAAAACCTGGAAGTGCTGGACGGCCATTTTAGCCTAGTAAGGTACTCCTCAATAATGGCCATCCATGACTCCACATGTGGAAATCAATCCAAGGACCTTTGGTCCCACTCAAGAACGTTGTTCACTGCCACTGAGGAGTTCGATATTAGGATGGAACGGCTGTTGAATGTTTCCAGGTTTTCAATGACGGTCTAAAATTGATCCGTTCATGCTATTGGACTAAACTCAACAATCTCCATCAATACATACTAAAAATAGTGAATTAATGATAAATCTGGAGTAATAAGACATATAACAACGACTTACAAGTCAAACGAAAGATATAGACCGAAAAATATAAAAAGCTGACACTCCAAACGTTTAATGACCATACTGAACATATTCCCATATTCAGCAATTACACATCATAGCCGGACAGTATCGAAACATAAGTCAGTGACTAATGGAAAACGAAAGTGTTACATCATCTAGTTGTTGAATATATATATATATATATTCCCAGCACGATGAATTAATCACTAAGATTTACTCTAGAATTGACTATCATCATCTTTTTGTCAGTACTCACACACACATACACACATAGACGGTATCTCACACCATCTCTCAACTAATATTAAATGTTCCAGGTTTACCATGATTGTCTAACTTCAATTGACTCATGATCTCAACTATCTCCATAAAACCCCTTCTGACACTAATCAACATATGCTGACTAATGACTCTCCAAGAGGTATTTCCTGGAGTTCTAGTGAGAAACAGTGACTAGTGAAGTTCAACCGGATCTGTTGTGAGATAGTAAGTCACTGAAGACAACGGAGGATATGTCGCTCAGCTTCGTGGATTAATTGATGTTAGACATTAACACCGTTGGATGCCAGCTCAGTGGTCTAGTGGTCAAGCGCTCGCGTGCGAGACTGATAGGCCCTCGGTTCGAATCTCACGAGGCGGGATCGTGAATGCACACTGTCACTGAGGAGTCCCACAATAGGACAAAACGACCATCCAGTACTTCCAAGGTTTCCATGTTGGTCTAGCTTCAAAGGACTCATGATCTCAACTATCTCCACAAAACCCTTTCGTATACTAATATTGAATACTATTTCCATGTAGAACAACAACATTTTTATCAAACTATTTCTTTTATACTGGACTACTTCTTCTTCATTCAATCAGAATCAAATGTGTATCCTCACATAGACACACACACACACATAAAAAGTACATTCAATACATAAAGTACTATTTATAGCCTGAAAAACACAGTTATAGATGAATATCCCTATCGATAATAAAAGAAAAAGGTATCTTTAAATCTGATTATGTAATAGATATGTCAAATAAGAAAAACGAAACTGTTTGGACAGAAAGATTGATTTACCCTGATGTTACATAGAAATGTTTGTATCATTTTGTTTTCATTCAAGTGAAATTGCTTAGATACTGAGATATTTATAGTTGAAAATTACAAAAGATCGATTTGAACATTGCCATGTTTTCTAGAGGGCAAAGCAAGAACAGCATATTTACAACTGAGGAACATCTGAAACTCAAAACAACTGTCAACCAACACCAAGGTCAGGATTTTCAATACAAATGTCAAGACAGTTCTACTGTATGGGGCAGAAACCTGGACAACTACGAAAGCTATCATCCAGAAGATACAGGTGTTTATTAACAGTTGTCTATGCAAAATACTTCGGATCCGTTGGCCGGACACTATTAGCAACAACGTACTGTGGGAGAGAACAAACCAGATCCCAGCGGAGGAAGAAATCAGGAAGAAGCGCTGGAAGCGGATAGGACACACATTGAGGAAAGCACCCAACTGCGTCACAAGACAAGCCCTCACATGGAATCCTCAAGGCCAAAGGAAAAGAGGAAGACCAAAGAACACATTACGCTGAGAAATGGAGATAGACATGAGAAGAATGGAAAAGAATTGGATGGAACTAGAAAAGAAGGCCCAGGACAGAGTGGGTTGGAGAATGCTGTTCGGTAGCCTATGCTCTATTGGGAGTAACAGGCGTAAGTAAGTAAGTAAGTATGTTTTCTAGATAGATTTCAATTAGACTTAACTTATTTTATAGTTTATATCATATAGAGACTATAGTTAGATAACAGTTGAAAAGTATGAAACATTAGATTGGCTAGGGCGTTCGAGCCCATGACCTTCAAGTTTCATAGTAAGTATTTAACCATTAGACTACTGAACAATTATTCAATGGTTTATATGTCAAACTTCAATCGATTTGCGATACCGAGCAAACATTTTCGAATGTCTTCAATGGGGAATTGCCTCTCATTCGATAATGTTCAGTATTCTAGGTTTTCAATGATAGTTTAGGGTCGATCTATGATTTAATCTATAAAGGTTAATAATGTCTATAAACCCTCTTTAATGAATGTTTATGATGATATTGCTTTTTTCCATCTATGGAACATTAGACGATTAACTACTATTATTAGAATTGAAGATTGTTCACTGAATCTTTTTCAATTAAAGACCTACTGAATAAGTAGTACGTTGGTGATAGTTTACAATAATCCCGGAATAATACAAACATTCTTGTGTTTAGATTAACAGTTTCTTACTGAAATGCTAATTTTTTTCATTGTGATCTTTGGGATAGAGTGAGAAGAAATGGAGTCCGATCATTAAATGATGCTCCTTTACATCCACAATGAATAAACCGTTATTGGATTGAATCTATTTGTCAGTATAGGGTTGTGGAGATTGTTGAGTTTAGTTCGATGTCATGTACGAATCAATGACAGATCACCATTGAAAACCTGGAAGCACTGGACGTCTGCTTCATTCCAGTGTGGGACTTCTCAGTGACAGTGCGCATCTTCGAACCCACACGTGGGACTCGAACTCGGGACTTTTGGTTTCACTCGCGAACGCCTAACTTCTGCATCACTGACCCAGTATCTAACGATGTTAATGTCTAACTTCAACCAATCCACGATATTGCACGACTGTTCACCATTGTCTTCGCGAACGAGACCGAAGGACTTGGGATCGAGTCCTGCGTGCGGGACCTCACTGCCACTGAAGAGTCCCATACTAGGGCGAAACGGCCGTCCAGTGCTTTCAGGTTTTCAATAGTGTTCTAACATTGATCCATTCATGATGTCAACCTAAATCTGTTTGATCAAATATTCTGTATTATACACTTTAGATTTAACTTTTCAATGTTAAGCAACATAATTTTAGTGATGCCTTATTCTCTGATCTGAGCAGTTGAATTTCGTAGTTATCATTGTCGTTCTGAATAGTATCATCAGTGTATTTCGTGTAGAAGTGAGCTTCTTAGTTATTCCATAAGAGTTAAGTCAGTTGTTGTTGTTATCGTCTTTATTTGTTCTCACATTTTTATGGACTGTTTTGTTTCATTGACCTCTAACTATGTGACTGATCAAAGTTTTCTGTTTTGAGTGACATGTTAGATTTCTGCAGACGTGTGTTTCATTAGAGATCAAACTGTGAATACAATGAACTTTTTTTGAATTTTCTCCATTTAAAATTTCGACCATTTCCCAGACATTAGAACTAGTGTTTGTCTATGTGCATTAATATCAATGGCAAATATATCATATCTCTTCACTGCTTCTCTATATCCGCGTATCTGCTGATTACGATGTTATCCACTTTGTTTGGTGTAGTACTTTTTCACTATTGCTGCAATTTAGGGGATAGTTAAACAACATCTGTGAATACATAGAAATGATATTTCAGTAACTCGTTCTAAATGTCATAAGTTTCAGTATTTATTGCCAGTATTCTTATCACATGATACGAGGAAAGTAACAGGATTCCATCAATACTGATGATCAGACAATAGTTGATTTGATAAACAAAGATGGATATTGGTTAGCAGTGGAATCCAGGACCCACGTTTCGTCCTATTTGGGACTTGTCAGACGGATGTACCTACATCCCTGAGTTGATGTTCACTCTGAGACACGAACCCAGTATCGCATTATCCACTTAGCTACTGAATCCTGTTAGCCACCTGCTTGTGTAATGGGGTAAAGTTTAAATTCACTTGATGTTGTTTACTTGTATCTTCCATTTGTTGTTTAGGACTGCAAATGATCAGTCTCTTGTTGATATATGTGCATCCTCTACGGGTTGCCTTGATATTGCCTTAATTTACAAGCATTCTAAGCAAAGATGAATAGTGGCTAGCAGTGGAATCACTAGGAAGATTCAAGTGAATTTAGTAGTTGATATTATTATTACTGTTATCATAATGACAACATATCTTTTTGATTGAGATCATGAACCGATTAATGTTAGACCACCATTGGAAACCTGGATTAGCCCCTATACTGATAATTACCATGTGCTCACTAGTGACTAGCTTCGTCAGGGAATTCTCGGAGTTCTAGTGAGAAGCCGTGACCAGTGGAGCTAATCCGTGTCGGGTAGAAACAGATGTCTACCTCAGTACAATGGAAGATGGTCGCGCATCTTGGTCGATTGGTTGATGTTAGACATTAACACCATTGGATGCCGACTCAGTGGTCCAGTACATTAGGCGTTTGAGCGCGAGACTGAACGCCCTAGGTTTGAATCCCTTGTGTGTGATCGTGGGTACGCACTGCTGAGGAGTCCCACAATAGGACGGAACGGCCGTTCAGTGCTTCCATGTTTTCAATGGTGGTCTAACATCAACCGGTTCATGATCTCAATGAAAAACTTAACAATCTCCACAACCCCTATACTGATGATAACATATCTAACGATGATACCGATTATATTCTCTTTGAACATCATCAAATCCTTGAAGGTTACACAGTCAATATCAACACTGAACTGTAAATGTCTATACAACTGATGAGATCGAAATAATCGGACGAAATGTTTGTTAATGATTTCACTGATTGATAAACTTTTATAATTCACATAGAATATTGTCTAGAATTCATAATTGAATTGAATTTCTATTATACAGCCTACATTATTTCGAATGTTAACAAATATTTGTCCTATGAGAATATTCATTCACTTGTGTTTCCATGTGAAATCATGAAAAAACAAAAGAATGAAAGAAAGAAACAATCAGTGTAGTTTACAAATTTGTCTACTTATAAGTAGATTGTCATTATCTTAATGAAAAATAAGTGAATAGTACCCATTACAGTCTATTTATGGACTATTATTACATATAATCCTATTGTTAACTAAATTCACTTGGTATTGTTTCACTTGTATCTATGCATTGTTGTTTAGGACTGTAAATGACCTATCTCTTGTTGGTATATGTGAATCCTGTAAGGATTATCTCGATACCACATTAAGTCACAAGATTTATAAACAAAGATGAATGGTGGCTAGTAGTAGAATTCAGGGCACATATTTGTGCATCGGTTCAAGTTGTCATACCTCACCGCATTAACACAACAAGATGAATACCGGAACCGTAAAAGTAGTTAATTCAATAGTGGTAATATATAAAAGAATGATTGTGTATAAGGATATAGTACAGGAAGAAAGAATTAGTCGGTAGAATGAAAGATATAAAGCAATTTAAATATCACAGTTTAAGGGAAGACAGAGAGTGTATACACTGACGTCCTTGTGATCGATTCTCAGCCATGTCATCCAGAGTCTTCAACTATTGGTTACGATAGTCACACGGACCCCAATCAAGTGGTCTGCATCTATCAACATGGCTCAGACTAAAAGTTTGTGACTTTCTGGACTGATGCCACATTTTTGTTTGGCCACCGCTAAATTTCTTCCAACCATCTCTAACACTAGTCAGCATTGTGTGTCATGGTAATCGGTTTTCAAGCATATGTAACACGTGGCCCAACCATCCTAGTCGATAAAGATTTACAAGCTCATCAAGTGATTAGTTACAGTCTCTTACACTGACAAACACTATTCAATTGATCTTGTATAATCATTAATTGTCATTTTATGATGTGATGTGATCTGGTTTGTTTGTATATAAATCATAAATGTCTGAAATATACATTATTCATAAAATAGGAGCAAAAATTTATGTCCTGGACTCAAACAGATACAGTTAAGCAAAAAAGGACTAGTAAGAACTTAGAATTAACTTTAAGCTGCTAGTATTAGTTAATGGATCATTAGTTTGACACAGTTTTCATTTACGGTAGCGAAACATGGCCATTAAGAGTAGAAGATACTCGTAAGTTACTAGTATTTGACTACACATGCTTTAGAAAGATTGTTGGCGTCTGCTGGGATCACTGGATAAGTAATGGTGGGTTTGGACGTAGGATATTAGGGAATGATGATGGTCAATCAGTTGATGAGGTTGTGAATGTTCATCGACTGAGATGGTTGGGTCACCTGTTACGTATGGCTGAACACCGATTACCACGACGTGCAATGCTAACCGGTGTTGGAGATGGTTGGAAGAAAGTTGGCGGTGGCCAAACAAAAATGTGGCATCAGTCCACAAAGTCACAAACTTCTAGTCTGAGCCATGTTGATAGATGCAGACCACTTGATTGGGGTCCGTGTGACTATCGTAACCAATAGTTGAAGACTCTGGATGACATGGCTGAGAATCGATCACAAGGACGTCAGTGTATACACTCTCTGTCTTCCCTTAAACTGTGATATTTAAATTGCTTTATATCTTTCATTCTACCGACTAATTCTTTCTTCCTGTACTATATCCTTATACACAATCATTCTTTTATATATTACCACTATTGAATTAACTACTTTTACGGTTCCGGTATTCATCTTGTTGTGTTAATGCGGTGAGGTATGACAACTTGAACCGATGCACAAATATGTGCCCAGTCTTAAGTTGTAGCTGACTAATTGATTGAGTTTGGCACAGTGCCAAATTCTAATTAATGATCTATATCATATAATGAATCAATAGGTTATAAGATATTTCATAAATGAATATTATAACATTAAAATATTCTAAATGTATTATGTAATTTGTTATTATTCAACTATCTTAAGTTCATCCTAAATAGTTCACTATAGATATCTGTTTTTTAGGAATCAATCGATCAATAAAGAAAAAGGAACAAAACATAAATTTTTTTTTAGTTCATTCATAGTGACCTTTTTCAAGTTATAAATAGATTGGGATCTTCTATATACATTAGTCATTGAATAAAATCACATTAGTAACTATGGCATTTTTATTTTCATAAAAAGAAAAAAATTTTTTTAATTAATCATATTTTTTTGTTTGTTCGCATGGTAACAATATACTACTAATATGATTGATAATCAATAACAAAGTCAATATAAACCTTTACTGATTTAAACGAGTTGGTTTACCTTTTTTGGTCAGTTATAAATGTTAACAAAAGACTGATCAATTACAGGTCTAAACAACAATGGAAAGATTCAAGTAAAACAAGCAGGTGACTATCAGGATTCAGTAGCTAAATGGATAACATGATAGCGGTTGAAGTGAACGGTACTAGGTTTGAGTCCTAGAGAGCACGTTTACTCTGGGATGCAGGTATATTCGTCTGACAAGTCCCGAATAGGACGAAAAGTGCGTCCTGGACTCCACTACTATCCACTATCCATCTTTGTACATAATCAATATATCGGTTTTGGTTTATTTTGTAAATATCACGATCATTTTTTTACAGAATAGGTTGATTGTTACTAGCTATCAATAGAACCTAGGACTAACATCTACTACCGGTTATTACTTATCAGCTGGATGTATCTTCATTTTGACATTAATTTTCTCAATAAATAATACATTGGAGTTTAAAGCAGAATGTATAAGGTTCTTATCTTTATGTGAACATCAGAACTCGGATATAGGCAAATCCAGATGACAAGTCCATGCTATGCCAAAACACAGATCTTGGATTCTACTGTTATTCTTTATCCATTTAATCCATTCAAATAAAATGGTTATATTGAAACAATCTATATGGTTTGCATAGATATACCAACACAGAATGATCAAACTTCAGTCAACATTATCAACAATGGAATTATAATCGAAAAAAGATTTAATGTCATGATAAAACTAGACTTTTAGCTTCTAATTTATAAACGAACCAATCAGATTAAAGATAGCAGATTTTGGCGCGAAATTCATTCACTCATTTATCTAAATGTTATCTTGGCATTATATCTGGTATCAATTGGTGATGAAAACCTTAAATCGAATTGCTAACCCTTAATCATCAACTGTAAATCATAATTTGAATTCCTCATACTAATAATATAACCTTCATTTAACTCTAATAATAGGTGGATATTCCAAAGTCATTCAAGCATTGCTCAAACGTCGTCCATGAATTTAAGTCTTACCAGTTCATGGTTATCAATAAGTTACTAACTGATTATAAAGTTGATGTAATAGTCTTTTACACGTTCAGTAAACAGGAGATCCTTCAATCAGATCGGTAATAATAATAATAATCTGTTTCTGCTCAGAATCTAAACCATATTATACCAATCAAATTGGTTGACACAAACCATTTGTAAAATCATAAGAACTTTGTTAATTATGTGTGGTATTTACTTTCAAAGTTAAATTGATATGATCTTTTTTAAATAAATAGTTGAATTCCTGAGTCAACTACATCTAGACCCCCGTGGAAGCACTGGATGGCCATTTCGTCCTAGTATGAGATTCTTTAATGACAGTAAGCATCCACAATCCTACTCGTAGGATTCGAACCCAGGATCTATTGATCTTGTGCACGAACTTTTAACCTGTAGACTCATGAATTCAACTATTAAATTATTAAAATTTACATAAAACCCCGCTCTTTCTGATAATTTCAGTATAATATCCACTTACTAAATAAACTTCATAATATGAACCATCTGTTTGTACAACACGTACAATTGGACCATCATTATACCATGTTTGAAAAGCAACTCTTAATTGATCACGATTTGTTCGATTTAATGGTTGAATTTGATAAATTACAAAAGCTCCATTATCTGGTATCTGAGGCATAAAACCACGAGATTCTAGAAACAAATAGAGATAAAGAAAAATGTCAAATATTACATGAATCAAAATATTGAAATAAAATTGAATGAATAGCCAGTCAATAACTCCACCCGGAGTCCCTCCGGGGGCTACTGCCGTTCACAAGCCCGGATAAAGGAGGAGAGTTGGGTATGGGGTTAGCGACCCCATCCTGTAGAAAACTAACTCGCTAAAAAACGCTTACCAGTGAATAGTCAGCCAATGGTGTGCAATGTAGAATCTGACACATTAATTTTAATTCATGTTACTAAACTACAATAGAATGCTTGATTTCGAATTCCAAATACAGTACATTCGTTCGTGCTTATCTAGTACTTCTTGATCCGATTAAGTTATTTCTGGGATTCTTAGTTCGTACTATAATTCAAATACTCTTAATTATCATATTGGCGTCGGAATGGAACCTGCGATGGAACAGTTAGATATTCATTCAACTTCTGAAGCTTTTAAGGATTATTCAGAAAGGGTGGAATGCTAAACTTAAACGTAGATTTCTTGTCTATTTTTCAAAGCGGGATGAGCTATACACTACTCCTGATGGTATTTTGTGTTTAAATGATCGTGTTGTTATTCCTCCTTCATTGCGTAAATCTGTCCTTGAAGTTCTTCATAGTGGTCATTTAGGTGTTGAGAAAATGAAGTTCTTGGCAGGGCTCACATTTTGATGGCCAGGGATAAATCCAGATATATGTCGTACAGCACACAACTGTGAAACGTGTCATAAGTTGAAAAGCCAACCTTAGAAGTGGTCTCCATGGCCAGTATCGTCTGAGGCCTGGCAGAGAATTGATGCTGACTATTGTGATAGGTTCGTTGGCAAATACTATGCACTTTTAATCATTGATTCTTTTTCAAAGTAGCCTGAGGTTTTTTTCACAACCTCACCGATTTCTGACTTCAAGATTCAAGCATTAAGAAAAGTGTTTAGTCGAGAAGGAGTTCCCATGGTGTTAGTGACTGATAATGGCTCTCATATTGCTGCAGATGCAGTCACTACCCGGTTGAATGATATAGGGTGCAAACATCGTTTTACTGCTCCCAGACATGCTTGTTCTAATGGTCAGGCAGAAAATTTTGTCAGTACATAACTGCTGTTGATTCTATTGCCGCCTCAACATTTAATGAACTGGAGAGGGGAGCAGATACCTTTCTACTGCAATATAGAAATACCAGACCTTCTGTGATGAAAGAGACTCCATCAAAGCTATTAAAAGGAAGAATTCTCCTGTTGAATATGAGATATTTGGAGTCTGCAGAAGTTACATATCATCGTGGAAATGGTCTTCGACCATCCACGGGGACTGTACTGAAGAATGTCGAGAAATCTATGGCGCGAATTTTAGATATCAATGACCTAAGTACACACAATCGACATGTTGATCAAATACAATTCCAGGAACCAGGTGAGTCTGTTCCGATTTCGGTTGTTAGTTCCAATACTAATAAGCGCATTCTAGATAATACAGAGTTTTTATCCAATACAATGTCGGACAGGCACAGGATGAACTTAAGAAGACGTACAATCGATTACAGACACTAAGACTCTAATTTAAGCCGTGGTGGATGTCGTGTTTGAATGAACTAATGATTCCTTTATACTTTTTGAATGCTTGATTTCGAATTCCAAATACAGTACATTCGTTCGTGCTTATCTAGTACTTCTTGATCCGATTAAGTTATTTCTGGGATTCTTAGTTCGTACTATAATTCAAATACTCCTAATCATCATAGACGAGTCCCACATTAGTCAAACTAGTAGCAGTATATAGTAGTAATAGGGAGGTTTTGATGTGAAAAAAAGTATATAAGAAAATTTTGGGACAAAGGGAACGATTCTGAACTACCATAGGTCTTTGCCGATTGGTTACAACCTCAACCACTTAGCCTACATCTATCTAAATGGATCAAGTTAATTGTTAATGAATTTTTTTAATCTGATGCTACGTCTTGGTTTTGGCTCCCTTTGGTTTCTTTCAGCCTATTCCTACATTAAACAAAATAATCTATCGAATTAGGCTCCAGTTGGGCATACGTAACACATGTTCCAAAATTCACAATCACATCGATTGATTCTCCATCCTTACCTAGTGTCCTATGACTAACTATGACACTTTGAAGTTTCAAAACACATCAGTAGTATTGGAAGATAATTTCCTGATATCAAGAATTGCTTAGACTTAGAAATGTAAACCATTGGACGCCAACTAAGCGGACCAAAGGTGAACGTTTCGACTTAAGACTTGAGGGTTTTAGGTTTGACCCCTGTGGGATTGTGACAAGGACAAGGTAGACGTCTACTACTTTCTAGATTTCATTGATTGTTTAATCAACCTGTGATATAAAACTTCAAGTACTTATTTGGTTAAAACACTTATGTTCAATACATGGTGTTAGGATATTTGTTACAGCTACGAAACACAATCCCTAATGAAATATGATGTGCATAGTTTGGTTATATGGTGGTTGGAGGTAGTCTACCTGTAATCTTGAGGGAACTGGTGCTCCACCATCTAATCTCAACATAGTGCACGCAGTGTCGAGTCACCTAGACTAATGGCCACATCGCAACTTGGCCAATAGCATTCTATCTGCACTAATAAGGACTTGACACATATGACATTGATCACCATCCAGTGACCAATCAATTGTGATAGTCTGGTAATATCTAAACATGATTACTTTCGATTTATGAAAATATCTACTTCAAAACTGTTCATTAAATGACTGTGGGTCTAATTATGTTTTATCTCATCATATAGAACAAACCATTTTCTTTTAAGTGTCATTAGTCTGGTTATATAGTCCAGTCTCATTCAAAGTTGGTAGACTTAAACCCTTTGAGTTAGGTTACTTTTTGCTTGTCAAAAACCTCATTGTCCTTCTGAACAACACCATGAGCAAAATGTTCATACAGAAATAAACTGTGAGAACTGTTCCATATATGAACTAACAACTAGTTCTAGCGACTTGAAATTTGATTGGTTGTTACTAACTATTGCTCTATTATTTTCTGCATATTTGTTTTGATAAAAGAAAGGTAAACAATAAACAATCAAAGTTAATGTTGACAGAAAACACAATTGATCATATGTGGAGTTCACTTATATCTGAAGTTTTTACTGACGATGATGTTGTCCTAATGGTCAATGAATGCTTTACAGATAAGTTACTTAGGTCAGAGGGCGTTGAGCTACGAAATCTTCTATCCTTAATTGCAAGTCTTCTTCACAGTTTAAAATAAGGTTAGAAACCAAATGTCTTATATATCCAGGTTTGATATTCTGTGATCAGAGGTTCAGGATTGTGTTGACAGTCATCAGTAACTTACGAAAATAGCTTGTTGGTGAAGCGTTAAGATCGTAAAAACTGATGGAATCGAATAGTAAAGTGCAAGAACTCACTAATTTTGATAGATCAGAATGAAGATTAAAGGAATGGTATTGTAATGATCAGATAATCATTCAGTAACTAGATCACCATGTCTATGTATTCCATTTTTCTCAAGCTTTTGGTTGACTTATTAACTCCTTATACACGATTTACTATTTTTAAGTTAATGCCATCTACTATTTAGTCTCTTCTATTCACAAACACTTTTGTCTTGATTATGTTGTAGTGCGGTCTGGTATTTCTGAATGTAAACCAAGTCTAAATTCACTTGGTGTTGTTTTACTTGTATCTTCCTATTGTTATTTAGGACTGCAATTGATCAGTATTATGTTGGCATATGTGCATTCTATGCCAATTGCTTCGATATAGCCTTAAGTCACAAGCGTTATTAGCAAATATGGATAGTGGCTAGCAATGGAATCCAGGACACGCGTTTCATCCTATTTGGGACTCGTCCACCGGATGTACCTGCATCCTAAGTGAATAACGAGATGATGTTTGAAGCGAATGTTAGTGGGTTCGAGTCCCGAAGTGAACACCAAATCAGATGTAGGCACATCCAACTAATGAGTCTCAAATAGAAAAAAACGCGCGTCCTGGATTCCAGTGCTAGCCACTATCCATATTTTTACACCAAGTCTGTTTGAAATATAAACATACAGTAAACCCTGGTTGCTGACTTTCGGACTCAGGAAAGGGTATAGAGAGAAGCTTACGAATTACGGAGCAATAGAAACTTAACTGTGTTGGCTCAAGGTCAACAATGCTGATTGACCGTGTAATAGGTCAAATCAGAAACACCAAGCTATTGAGTAAATAATAGACCAAATTAGAATCATGATTCTCACTGAAGACTTATTACTTGGTATTTGATAGTAGTCACAAGGTATAATAAATTTCCCCACCCACCCACACACACACACACTAACACAGAGTGGCGCAATTTATGCAGTTATCGAAAGTCATATATAGTTATATAACCCTTGTAAAAAACAAAAAAAATAATAATGACAAAACAACACTTACGTCTTTCACATCTTGCTCCATTATACGCTGTATATCGACAATCACATTTTCGTTGATAATTTTCTGCATAACATTGACCACCATTTGAACAATAATCAGATATACATTCAGGTTGTGGTCTTGGTGGATGTATTTGAAAACCTGGTGTTGGTACAATTGTCACTGTACCAGTTGATGTAACTATACGTGCATTTAAATCATCAATTGGATATCTTCCATTCCAATGTAATCCTTTAGTTAAGAAATTTAAAAGATCATCTAATTATTCAAAAGAAGATTTGATATAGTCATTGAATATGAACAAACAGACATTCAACTTATAGACTGAGTTTGGCGTACGAGATCATGAATACCCACTATCAATGACGAGTCCCATAGTAGGACGAAACGGACGTCCAGTGCTTTTACGCTTTCAATGGTGGTCTAATGAATTTAACTGTGAAAATACTACAATATATGAGTTCCTTTCCTATTATTGATTTTTAATCTACGCGCTTTGTTGTAAATGTCTTGGATAATTCATCATCTGGTTTATACTCTAGTTCTGTAATATTTCGTCGTCAATCATGTATCTGGCATAATGTGATCTCACTTTGTGTATTCATCAAGTATCCAGTCTCGTAGTAACATAATCTTGTTCCCCAATTTTATATCGCAGATACAGAAAATGTTTCTATTCAGCCCATGTACGGTTATTAATATTTGTTGTTATCATAAAACTAATCTTGAGTGTTAGTCTGTGTTCGGAAGAGCCAGAGTATTTCTCAAAAAGAAAAGCCTAGAGGACCCCTAAAAACCCTCGGAAACATTTTATCCAATCAGCATTCCATAGACGTTTCTCAGAAACATCTAAAAAGTGAAGAATCACTTGTCGCATTTCTGATTGGATGATTACCTATCCTGGTATCATGCTTAGTAGGATTCTGGAACTTTCCAGAAGTCCAACGCCATGTGAAATGCTATAAATACCTTCAATTTGTTTTTTACACAAACTGAATTTGAAGTAAAGCGTTCCTTCTATATTTCTCACCTTTTCTCTCAAGTTCAAATTGTCGTGTAGATTTAGCCTGGGGTTATCAGAAGAGTTTAACAAACCAATTCAAGCGTTCAGTTAGAAGATTTATCATTCTGAGTCATGTTGATTGATGCAAACTACCTGGTTGGAGATTTAAGGTGACATAGCTTAGAATCATTCATAATGGCACATATACATTCACTTTTTATCTTCTAGATATTCATCCCCAATATTTCTTCGGTGCATACTTTTCTATTCTATCTTTTCAAACCATATTCCTAATGTTTAGGTCTTTCCTACTAACATTAGTGCTGTGTTGAACAAAAACACAAGTAGGGGCAACTAAGTGTCAGTTATCTGTTATGAAGACAAAACAGTCAATAAACTTATCTTTCGGAAGCTGATCGCATGGTCAATGATTGATGGTCATTTGGCTTAGAGATAACAGAAAAAAGATTACTTGTATTGGGTAAAGAGATAGATATTAAAGGCATCGTATTGTTGAACAAACACATCACCTCTGTAGTGACTGGTAACCATGCAAAGCTCACATAGCTTCCGGACAGATTAGTTTCTTCATTCTTCTCAAGTCACATTTTTCGCCCTGTCACTTATTCGCTTATTAATCCTGACTGTTTTTATATGATCATATGGGTGTTAATTGCTCACCTTATTCATGATTTAACTGTAATTTATCTTTGTCTGATTGATTAAGACGGGTTGACTCATTTGCCATCTCCGCTGCGTATCATTTCGCCTCATTTCACTTCGCTTCCATTACTTCGTTTCTCCGATTGTCTTTTGTATTTGAATAATTTTATTCTGTTATTCTCTTTAAGGGGATTCAGTCAATAATGATATACGAGAGTTGGAGGCATGTATATAACCCGATAACAACCAGCATACGATTTAACTGACTACTAAACCTCTATAGTTTTACTTGTGTCGTCCTAATCCTGATTGATTCAACAGTATAGTATGGTTTAACAAATAGTACAAAGTTAAGAAAAGAATTCTCCTTAGAAAAGAAACAAAAATGGATCATCATATACTTCATGATTTAAAACAAACATGATAATAATCGATGAAGTCACCGACAAGTGGAATGAGTCATGTTTGTAAGTGTAGACTAACTGGTTGGGATCCGCGAGACGATAACAACTGATGGTTAGAAACCTTGAATGTGACATGGTTCAAAATTGTTTGCAATAGCGCAGATGCACTCACTCTTTGTGTTCTCCCAAATTTTAATATTCTGGATCCTTTATATCCCTTGAATAACATCTTCAAACCCTCATCTTTCCCATTACTGCTTATACATTTACTACCTCTACCACTATAGGACTTGAATCGACAATTGTGTCTTTGTGCTGATGTGGTATGGCAGCTTGAACTAATGTACGTACGTACGTACGAAGTTCTATGTTGTTGTCAATTGAACGTTGATAACAGGTAAAAGAAAAACAGTTTGTCACTGACAACCTACCTCCGATTACTCCACGAAATATATCAGATTTTTTCTCATCTACAGCTAAATGAATAGCATTGTAAGTAAGACTATTATCATATGGATTGACTAAATCTATAAAAATAAGAAAGGAATGAATAGTTTATCATCAAATAAGAAGAGAGTATAATAGATAAGTTAAAAAGTACATTAATGTGTCCCTAATTGACATATTTGCATTCTATGAAGATTGCCTATTGTACAAGCTAATGGCTATATCTAAACCCGGTAGCTTGAGTGAATAACTCAATAGTGTTCAAAGCGAATGATACTGGGTTCGATTCCTAGAATGAACATCAACTATATCTAGCTGACGTGTCTCAAATAAGACGAAACAGGCATCCTGAATTCCACTGCTAACCAACATCCATCTCTGTTTATAATTTATCAGTAAGTTTTATTCATAAGACTCGTTTCAATTTAGATCAATATGACGAACTAAAGAGTATTGAAAGCTGTGTCATCTTAGTGAGAGACTTCGAAATGAGTACTTTGTGTTCAGTTCACCGATTTATCATCCAATGGTTCACATTGATAACTCCAGTCAAGTTGTAATATTGAGAGCCCCTCATTCGAGGATATCTCTGTCTTATTCAACACGTTGTCCTCTTTGCCTGTTCCATCAAGAACACGAAAATGCACAATATCTGATAGTTTCAAAACATAGCCACTGAAGGTAAAAGACTATTGACTGATGTGTAGTTTTCAATCTCATTCTTAGATTTTTGGTGACCAAATTGTAATAAAACTATTATTCCAAGTGACTTGACATCTCAGGAAATATGCTTCAGTGTTGAATGGTTGGAGGTAGTTGGTGGGATACATTTAGTCTATAATTTATGCTATTTGACACTCGTCTGTAAGCCTGTGTCACCCAATGTTACATTCAAAGATGTTTTGACATTGTTTTTATCAGCTCAAAGAGGATGATATCTGGGCTGATTTCGATCAGCAATAAAGATTTTCTAAAGTAGAGATAAACGATGACTAGCATTGGAATCCAGGATGTGAGCTTCGTTCTATTTGAAACTCGTCAGCTTGATTTACCTTCATCCCAGAGTTGATATCCACTATGGGAATCGAACTCAGTACCATCCACTTCAAACACCATCTCATTATCCATTTAATGTCCTCGATCCCACTGATAGTTACCATCCATCTCTTTTTACAATCCTTGTAACTTAATGGCAATATCGAGACAATCCACAAAGGATTTACATATTGCAAAAAGAGACTAATCAATAACAGTTCTAAATGTCAATGATTATCAATATTATTGATTCATACCTTGTAATGATAATCTTAGTACTTCACCATCTTGTGTAACAATCATTGTTCGTCCTTTACGTTCAATATTTATAATATGATAATTTCCATCATTTGAACGCATACCGAAATCATGTGTAATTTTCCCACCTGTATCAACAATGACACGACCATCACGCTATGAAAAAAAAATAGTTGAACAAATCAGAAAAATCAGTATGCGCTTGTGGAGATTATTAAGTTTTTGGTTGAGATCATGAACCATTGGATGCCAGCCAGCTCAGTGGTCTAGAATTTAAGCGTTAGCGCCCGAGATTGAGGGATCTGGGTTTGAATCCCGCTAGCAGGATCATAGAAGCACACTGCTGAAAAGTCCCACAATAGAACGAAATGGCCATCCAGTACTTCAGGGTTTTCAATGGAGGTCTAACATCAACTGGTTCATGATCTCAATCAAAAAAGTCAGAAACAGACTTAACGAATTGTATTGTTTATTAATAATAATTTAATAATTGAGTTCATGAGTCAATTGAAGCTAGACCATCATGGAAAACCTGGAAGCACTGGACGGCCGTTTCGTCCTATCGCGGGACTCCTCAGCAGTGCTCATCCACGACTCCTCCTCGCAGGATTCGGAGCCAGGACCTACCAGTCTCGCGTCAGGCCCTTAACGAACTAGACCACTGAACCGGCATCCAACTCCTGATATTAATCAACATATGCTCACTAGTGACTGACTTCAAGAGGTATATCCTGGAGTTCTAGGGAGAAATAGTGACCAGTGGAGTTCAACTGGGTCAGTTGTGATATAGTAACTCACTGATGACAACGGTGGATGTGTCGCTCAATTTCGTGGATTAGTTGGAGTTAAACATTAACACCGTTGGATAAAAAATTTGTAGTTGAGTTGACGAGCCAATTGAAGCTAGACCACTAGAGAAAACCTGGACGCACTGGGTGGTCATTTCGTCCTAGTATGGGACTCATCAGTAGTGCAAACCAACGATCCCGAATGTGGGACTTGAACCCAGAACCTATCGGTCTTGCGCTTGAATCTTTAACCTTTAGGCCACTGAATCGGAATCAAACGGTATTAATGTCGAACTTCAACCAATCCATGATCTTGAACAATCTTTCACTCATTATCTGAGATGGATAACTGTCTCCACCTAGATTCGAGTTCTGCATTCGTGATTGTGGATATGCATTGCCACTGATAAGTCCTATACTAGGATGAAATGACCATCCAGTACTTCCAAGTTTTCAATCATGATCTAGCTTAGATTGATTTTGTAGATCCAACTGTTTGTTAATTAAGGAGGGTATCATTGAAAAGTTAGAATAATATATGAATATAACTTACTAATTTAATAGCCCAATATTTTCCATCGGTTGTTAAAAATGTAACTAATGTACCAGAATTCATATAAGTTTTAAAACCAAATGTTACATTATCATCAATTGTACGTATAGATGGTATTAAATTATAAATAAGATAACCATCTCTTTCATATCCAATATGAATACCATGAGCACCTATAATGTGTAATTTAGGAAAGAAAGAAAAAAAATAATGAAAATCATTATGAGTTGATGATGTAGTGAGTGATCAAAATAGGTTAGAACTTAAATGCCCTAGTACGATCGAGAATGGGGAGAGTTGGCTCTTCCTCTCCAAATGCTGTCATATGGATATGTGTATACAGCTACTGACAGGGAAGTCCTACTCACTGTCTTTTCGTGGCAGGGGTGTTTGCTTACAAAATTGAGAGGAAAAAAAGAATGTCCAGCGCTTTAACTGGGTTCGTAGATATGGAGAATCCACTTAGGGGAGTTAGAAAATCCTGGTTCCAAACCAATGGCACACATGGGTTCCCGAATCCTGAAGGAACAAATGGTGAATGAAACAATCGTTAGTCACCAGCTTCTATAGGACCTCATCTCGTAACGCTGCTCCACTGTCTTGTGAACTAAACCTATAGGCCAAAGGCTTAGGGAGTGGCCTACTAAGAAAACGACTTGTTTTGGTTTAGGTACACGGAAAGTATCCCAGATTATTAAGTACTTCACTTGTTCCCTCGAAATCCCGTAATCGGTAAGCACGTTATTCGATTGATTTGTAGAATGATAAGTGAGTCAACGGCTAAGTTCATATCTTATTGGCTCTAACTCCGCCTGTAGCTCTTCTAGAGTTACTGCCAGTCCCAAGCCCGGGTAAAGGAGGAGGGTTGGGCATGGGGTTAGCGTCCCCATCCCGTAGAAAACTAACTCGCTAAAAAAAACGCTTACCAGAAAAAGTAAGTAAGTAAGTAAGTCTAAAAGTCACAGAATTTTACCTAAAAGTTTAAGAGATAAATCATTCAGCTAATCACTAATGAGAATATGGAATCATTTTTATCAATACAATGTCTAATATGATACTCTTTATAATTATCCAACGCTTGGATAGTATTCAAGAACGGAAAATTCGAGAAAACCAGGCTGATTTCAAATATACACATGAGTGTTTCGATCAGATGTTCACTCTTCGTCAGATGTCAGAACATAAACATATTTAGTGACCCCCCGCCACTATAGTTGTATATCTCGACTTCAAGGTGAGATTCGATCTCAAGCGTCTAGTGAACTGTTATCAAACGAAAACAACCGTGAAATGACTAACTATTGACCTGAGTCATGTCTGGTTGGACTCAGTGTGATAACTAAGATCAGTGAATTGAAGATACTGGATGAAAAGGATCAGAGTCAATGACAATAGATTAGGTCCATTGCTCAGTTACCAAAGAACACATTGCATGGATAATTGGAAGCAGACATGAAAAGAATGAATAGCAACTGGAGATAACTGGCTGAGATTGTCCAAGACAGAGTTAGATAGAGAATGCTGATGGGCGGTGTATGCTCCTCCAGGAAGGGTAACAACCGTATGTAAGTAACTAAGTTGTCAAGAGATTTTCATAAAATATGTCATAACAAAGTCTTTAGTTATGTGTCCTAACTATTTTGTACATCAAATCAAGATAAATATGGTAAGTACTATAACTATTATCATAAAGATACACAGGCATTAATAAACAGTTGTCTACGTAAAATAACCCAGATCCGTTGAATGTTTGCCATCAACAATAACTATTGTGGTAGAGAACAAACCATCCTCCAGTCGAAGAAGAAATAAGGAAAACATACTGAAGGTGAATAGGATATGTATTGCGGAAATCATTAAACTGCATTACATGTCAAGCCCTGACGGGAACTCCTCAAAATAAAGGAAAAGAGGTAGACCTAAGAACATATTCCATCAAGAATTGGAGGCAGACATCTAAAGAATGAATAGCACTTGGCAACAGCTAGAAAGCAGAGCCTAGGACAAAGTTATTTTGAAGATTCTGACCAATGCCCTATGCAAAACGAAAGCTAATAAACATAAGCAAAGTAAGTATTTCAGTATAATCACTTACTGGAATCACATTGCGGTCCAGTTCTTGCTGTCATTGAACAGTCACATCGATAAACATTTCCAGGTAGAACTGAACAAATACCACCATTATTACAATAATTTGGTGGACATGTTATAGGCTCTGTACATGTTCGTCCGCGATATCCTGTCCCAGTACAATCACATACATAACTACCACTTTTCACTGAACAAACACCATTATTTTGACAATAACCAATTGGACAAGTTTCGGGTATTTCGCATTGTGTACCTTTATAATCGGTGCCTAAACAATCACACTTTGGTATACCTCTATTCATGGTACATCTTCCACCATGTAAACAATAATCTGGTGGGCATAATTTTCTCATTTCACATTGTTCCCCTTCAAAATTCGCTGGACATGTACAATGTGGTTTATGATCTGGACCAGGATAACATGTGCCACCATTCATACAGTAATTCGATGGACATACTTCAATTTCACATCGTGGTCCTCTATATCCTGGATAGCAATCACATGTAGGATTTCTTTGACGCACAACACAAATACCATGTCCAGTACAATAATTTGGTGGACATAATGGTATATTACATGTAGGACCAGCATAATTGGTTCTGGAACAATCACATATTGGACGATCATCATGACCTACTTTACATTCACCATAATTTTCACAATAATTAACAGGACATATACGAGTGTCACAACGTGTTCCAGTGTAACCAGTTCCACGACAATTACATACTGGTTTTTGTGTAAGTGGATCTACTGTGCATACTCCTCCATAGCCACAATAACCTGGAGTACAAATCGATTCAAGACATCTTGGTCCAGTGAAACCAGTCCCTTTACAATCACATGCAGCAACTGAACCAATCATATAACATCGTCCATTATTATGACAATATGTTCCACTACTACATGGACTAATTTCACACATTGTTCCAGTATAACCTGTATTAGAACAATCACATATTGGTTGACCATTAACTATTTTACATCGTCCATTATTTTTACAATAACCTGGTGGACATTCAATTATTGGATTTGAGCATCTAGGTCCTTCATGACCAGTTCCACTGCATATACATTGAACTTCATTATCTGATATTTGTCGACATAATCCACCATGATGACAGTAAGATGGTGTACATCGTTTTAAATCTATGAATAAAGATAATTAAAATAAAAACAATGGTACATTTTATAGCGATGAAAGTATACTACTTATAAGTAGCTCACATTATTTAAAAAAACATTTTGACTTTTCACATGCTTCGAATAATAGTTGTGCAAAAATCTAATCGATTACTTTTTTTCATCAATCTATTGGTACTCAGATGAATCACTGACGTCGTCATAACCAAGAAATAATGGAGAGACTATAATTTATGGATGAGCTAATCAGAAGCGTTAGAGAGGTGTCAAGGTCACGGCGCCAAGTTCAGTACACGATGCTCACGTACGGTCGGTTTACAGCGGAGTTTAGAGATATGATAATTGAGCGGCTATAACAGATGGGATTACTAAGAAGTTCCTTTATTTGTGACTGCAGTATTCCTTGATTATTTAAGTTGATTTACAATAGTTAAAACGTTATTGTTATTCTATTGAAGTTCTATTGAACACAGATTTTCTTAATAATTCAGTAGTATAACGCAGTTATTCGTAAGATTCTACTCTTCATCATTGACTGTTATATATTCCTATTCAATTGTTAACTTTGACAAGTTGAAATCATGAGTCAATTGAAGCTAGAACATCATGGAAAACCTGGAAGCACTGGACGGCCGTTTCGCCCTAGCACGGGACTCCTCAGCAGCGCGCACCCACGACCTCGCAACCGGCGGGGTTCGAACCCAGGACCTACTGGCTCCGCGCGCGAGCACCTAACCACTAGATCATCGAGCCGGCACCCAATGGTGTTAATGTCTAACTTCAACCAATCCACGAAGTTGCGCCACCGTACACCCTTGTCTTCAGTGATTTACTATCTCACAACAGACCTGGTTGAACTCCACTGGTAACGACTTCTCACTAGAACTCCAGGAGTGTCTCCTGAAGTCAGTCACTGGTGAGCAGGTGATTATTATTATTATCAGAATGGGTTTTGTGGAGACTTTTAGAAATTTCACAAGTTGATCAAAATACGTTTCGATGTAACAAAAAGTAACAACATTACAAGCAGAGACGGATGGTACCTAGCATGGAATCCAAGACGAGCACTTCGTCCCATTTGAGACTCGTCAGCTGGATGTGCCTGAATCCTAGAGCCACCATCCATCTCTGCTTATAACACTTGTGAATTAAGGCAATATCGAGACAATCCACACAGGATACACGTATGTCAATATGAAACTGATCAACTGCAGTCCTAAACATCAATGGAAAGATATAAGTAAACAATTTCAAGTGAATTCAAACTTTACCCCATCGCACAATGAAGTGGCTATCAGGACTCAGTAGCGAAGTAAATAACGTAATGGCGTTTGAAGTGAACGGTACTGGGTTCGAGTCTCCGAGTGAAAATCAACTTCAGGATGCAGGTACATTCAGCTGATGAGTACTGAATAGGATGCATCAATTTTGTTCACAATAATCTCATTATGTGACTATAAACTTGTATTATACACAGTTTTATTGTTTAGAACTGTTATGAATTTAGGTTGTGAGACTGCAGGGTTTGATAAGCAGCGTTTATTGATCGATTCGGTGAGAGTGACACGGAAAACACGTACGGACGGCCTAGAGTCTCTATTGGTCCCGCTTCCCTGTCTAGCCCAGTTAGTTGAGTCCAGAACACAAGTCACAACCTCTGAGATATGAATCACTATATTTCAAACATACTTTGTTTATATACTAGTCAAGCATACCACAGCGTACCATAAAAATAGAAAACAACATTTTGTACAATATTCAACAAGTGAACAGATATCGACCAATAGGAAATGTCCATTTAAAGTCCAAGGACACCATTGGACTTAACATGATAATTATTGGTCTATTCCTGCGCATCCACAACACCTCCCCTTTTTTTTGAAGATCCGGAGTTGATATCCGGATTTTGAAATTTTCTGGGTTCATCCTCCCCCACGAAATAATGTTGGGTCCTCATATTCCCAAGTTAGAATTAATTTGACTTTATTTAACACATAATTGTCAGATTGAACAGGGGAGTCACTGAAAGTGATTAAATAGTGGGGAACAATGTCGCTTGATATGAGGTCACCAACGTTTGATTCTTCTGGAACATTGTCACGGGATTTGTTGAAAATCTCATTTGTAAACAGTTGATCACTGCGATAATCAACATCTATCAAAATTGTATTAGATTTCTGATCATCATTTAATGCATTTAACACATTTTCTGGTACAAAAAGATCTAGATAATAAGATTCGTCAGAATCTCCTGTTGTTGAATGATGAGGACCATTTGAAACAGCTGGATTCAGTGTACCGCACGATTTGTTCCCTGTTCCGTTGTGGGCGGGTACTGCAATTAATTTATGAGCATTTAATAAGAGATCCTCCTGTGAGCTGGGTACATCACTGTCTGTACACGTTTCAGGAACAGTGGGATTTGAACCCACGACAGGGAACGTTTCGGAATTTGACATTTCTGGACAACTGGGCGGACCATGAATAACTGTCTCGTTTACATCACTGGTCGTCCGGGATTCACAGAGGCTTTTATAAACAGCTTCATATGTTCTGCAGTTGTTTTCCAGCTCAGTCTGCAGATGAGAAATGAATTTACCAACTTCTGTTGCACCTCCGAAACATGGAACATTTACCAACAGTGTGCGTAAATTTTCTAAAAAATTTAACTGGCTATTTTTGAAGCACTGCTGTTGTTGCTCAAGTAGAAGCTGTAATCGATCGGAAAAGGTAGTCTTTTTTTTTTCAGCACCTGCAATGAAAATTAACTGTAGGAATAATGACCAATGTTGCTCAAGGACGCTGGTGACAATCTGGATGCTGATTGGTCGAAACAATTAACCTGAATCTCGTCCAATTACAAGGTTCAAAATTTTTCTCCACCCCGTCGCCAATTGTTATGAATTTAGGTTGTGAGACTGCAGGGTTTGATAAGCAGCGTTTATTGATCGATTCGGTACAGTGACACGGAAAACACGTACGGACGGCCTAGAGTCTCTATTGGTCCCGCTTCCCTGTCTAGCCCAGTTAGTTGAGTCCAGAACACAAGTCACAGCCTCTGAGATATGAATCACTATATTTCAAACATACTTTGTTTATATACTAGTCAAGCATACCACAGCGTACCATAAAAATAGAAAACAACATTTTGTACAATATACAACAAGTGAACAGATATCGACAAATAGAAAATACCCATTTAAAGTCCAAGGACACCATTGGACTTAACATGATAATTATTGGTCTATTCCTGCGCATCCACAACAAGAACATAGTTAGAATTCATCAAAAATCAAGCTCTTTTGTTATATCATTGTTTAAAATTGTATCAAATCCACATCATCATAGTCACAGTTGATTGATCACTGGGTGGTGATCAATGTCATGCTTGTCTAATCCTTATTAGTGCAGATCGAATGCTATCGATCATGTTGTAATGTGGCCACCAGTCTAGGTGACTCGACACTGCGGGCACTATGTAATGAGATTTAGATGGTGGTTGGAGGTAGTCAACAGGAAACCCTGGACCCGGGTTTCCTGTTGACTACCTTCAACCACCATCTAAACATCATCGTAGTATCACCCTTGAAATGTCTACTTGACATTCTTGGTATAAAAGGTAACATGAGTAGTCTAAATTTAGTGATTACCATTGAATGGGTTGTTTGAATCTAACCATTTATGTTTAAGATTGTAATTGATCAATTTCTTATTGGTATATGTGTATCCTGTGCGTATTGATTTGATATCACTAGTAAGTCACGAAGAGAGATAGATGGTAGCTATCAGTGGAATCCTGATAACAAGTCCCAAATAGGAAGAAATGCATGTCCTGAATCCCACTGCTAGATATCACGCCTCTCCTCTTGTAAAATACAGTTTTGGTGATCATTTCTCGCTAATTCCTTAGATTAATCAGTAGCACACTAAGGACAGGTCTCTAAAATCGAATTCATTGCGGATAGCAAACATATATTGATACAGTGCAACTGGTCTCCTATTAATTTATCTAACAGTTTACAGTCATTCAGTTCGAGTATTCATTGAACAAACTGAATAAAAATATCCCATGATGACAAAAAGCACTAAATTTTGATCATTATCATCATCAACTATTATTATTTAAATCATGCCCCCAAATGCCCTGGTACGGCTGAGGATGAGGAGATTTAGCTTTCCCTCTCCAAATACTCACATAGGCACATGGATACAACCACTACCAGGGAAGTCCTACTTACTGCCTTCTCGCACCACGGGTGTTCTTTGCGAAATTGAAAGGACGAAAAGTCAATGTCCGGCGCTTTAACCGAGTTCGTGGATATGGAGGATCCACTTAGAGGAGTTGGAAAACCCTGATTGCAAACCAATGATGTACATGGGCTCATGAACCGAATATTGGTCACCGGTTACCATGTGATTGCATCTCCTTATGTTGCTCCATCACCTTGTGGATTAGACCTTTAGGTCAAAGGCTTGAGGTGTGATCCCCTAAGAAAACCACCTGCCTAAGTCTGAGCACCCGGATAGTATCACAGTCCAGTATTTATGTGTTCAAATAAATAAAATATACTAATCATTATACATTGTAACATTGTAATTATTACATCATTCAACTTACCCATACAATAGCCTCTTATTAATTCATTAGCTGGATAAGCAGTTAAATAACTATCATATAATTTTAATAAATTATCAGTGAAATTATTTGCTCTTATATTAAATGATCCAATACAACCGGTTAATGATGGTTGTTGACCATCTTTTGCTTCACTTCGTTCTAATGAATGCATAGCATAACGACGTAATAAATTAAGTAATGTTAACCATTCATGTTCTGGTATACCACCAAAAAATATATCGAATTGTGATAATAAATCCACACGAACATTTTTACCAACTAAATACTGTTTGTTTATTTTAGAGGCAAACAAAAAAGAAGAGAGAAAATCATTTGATTAAACAGAATTTCTTATCAGAATAAGGTTTATAGAGATTGTAGTAATTTAATGGTTGAATTCATGAGTCGATCTAAGCTAGGCCAGTCGTGGAAAGCCTGGAAACACTGGATGATTGTTTCGTTCTAATATAGGACTCTTCAGTGGCATTGTGTATCCACGATTCCGCACGTGAGATTTGAACCCGACCCAGTGGTCTAGAGGTTAAGCGTTCGCGCGCACGTCCGAAGGTCCTGCAGGACCGCGGTTGCGTATTGCCATTGAGGAGTCCCATAATAGGACGAAATGACCATTTAGTATTTTCAGGCTTTCCACGGTTGGTCTAGCTTACATCGACTCATAAATTCAACTGAAGAAACAAATTTAATTGAAATATGCTTAGTTTTTCCTCAGTATAATGGGTCTGTGCAGATTGTTGAGTTTTTTTCATTTATATCAAGAACTGACGTTACTTAGAAAGTCATTGAAAACCAATAAACACCAGACAATTATTTTATTCTTGTATGGGACTATTCAACAATGCTCGCTGAAGATCGAAACTAGAATCCTCAAATCTAATCATGACCAATTTGTGATGTTAGCCATTGCATTTTATAATCTTCATAAATATCCCGTACTAATAATTGTCATATACACACTAGTGATTGGTATTGAGCGTTAGTAGCCGTAAACAATGGATTTCGCTTATTATTGATGTTAGGCAACGTCTCACCGAAGGCGTTAGAAGATGGTTAAACTCGTAAACCAATTGATTTAATCTCAGTAGTGCTGAGATAAAAAGCGTTCTCCGAGAAACCTTAATGTCTCAAGTTCGATCCTTGGTAGGATCGTGGATATATTAATGAGAAATGTTGTATCGGCTGAAGAGTACTTCATAGTTCAAAATGTTATTTTTTCTAAATAAAATTAGTTTGTTTTCATTGACTACTCCATCATGTATCAAAGAAAATTGATCTAAACAAATGTAACTACTTATAAGTAGTTCAACTTATCTTTGAAACTTTCATCGAATAATTCTACCTACCTCATTTGAATAACCATCTAGATAGGCTAGAATTTCTTTATTATATTTTCGTAGAGTGATTGCAAGACGATGCCAATTACCATCAGCAACATTATCAGCACCTGGACCAGAAGTGATTTGATAAACACCTTGTTGATCATGAATTGAATAGATAATATGTATACGACCATTAAGAATCATAGCTGTAATATGGATTCCACTAGGATTATTGATATCACGAGCCTATAATACAAACAAAAAAACGATGGGAATATGAAGTTCAAATTTACGAAGAGGAACAATTTGTCAGACAATACAGAAAATATAATCGAATGGAAATTATTCTGTGGATGATGAGAATACAATCTACTGAAATCTGTACAGCTACGTCTTTGGTATATTGAAGAATTGATGTGTCAGCGAAGATGATAATGACTGGTTTTTTTGCTTAGTCAGACTAGTAGACAGTCTGATAGGTAATAGGTGAGTTTTATATTCTCCTAACCTTATTATTACTATGATTGTTGACGGACTGTTGTTTTGATTGTTATTTACTTTCTAGTAAGGCTAATCACGTGTTCTTGATCTGAGTTGTACTAAATTCCTGTAGAATAGACAATGTGAAAGAATTTTAGTGTAGATATTCGTCTAAAGCGAATTAACGTTCCATTCGTGTAGACGAGGAAAACCGAGTGTTATAACATACCAATTCACTATATCATTAGATAACGGTGTTATAATAGAATCATTTGGTTTACACAACTTACTTCAACACATTCTACTTCACCTTTTTGGTTATACCTGTTACCCATCGTCAAGGAGTGTAGGCTGCCCATCAGCACTCACCATCCAACACTGTCCTGGGCAATCCTTTCCAGTTGTTTCCAGTTACTATCCATCCTTCTCATATCTGCTTCCAATTCTCGACTCTGTGTGTTCTTCGGACTTCCTCTTTTCCGCTTCCCTTCAGAATTTCAAGTTACGGCTTACATCGTGATGTAGTTTGGTGATTTCCTCAACGTATGTCTTATCCACTTACAACGTCTTTTCCTAATTTCCTCCTCAGATGAAAGTTGGTTTGTTCTCTTCCAGAGAAGGCTGTTGCTGATAGTATCCGACCAATGGATGTTGAGTATCTTGTGTAGACAACTATTTATAAATACTTGTATCTTCTTGATGATGGTTGTGTTAGTTCTCTGAGTTTCAGCTCCGTACAGGAGAACTGTCTTGACGTTTGTATTGAAGATTTTGATTTTGATATTGGTTGAAAGTTGTTTTGAGTTTCATATGTTCTTCAATTATAGGAATGAGGCTCTTGCTTTGTCAATCCTCGCATTTACGTCTGCATCAGATCCTCTTTGTTTATTCATGATGCTATCCAGATACGTGAAACTTTCCACCTCTTCCATAGTTTCTCCATCAAGTGTGATTGGATTGCTGTTCTCCGATTTGAATTTGAGGACCTTGGTTTTCCCCTTGTGTATGTTGAGGCCTAGTGATGCAGAGACTGCTGCTACACTAGTTGTCTTCATCTGCATTTGTTCGTGTGTATATGGTAGGAGGGCTAGGTCATCTGCGAAGTCCAAATCGTCTAATTGACTCTAAGCTGTCTATTGTATTCCGTGTTTTCCTTCAGATATCGAGGTCTTCATAATCCGGTCGACCATCAAAAGAAAGTTAAAGGTGGAGAGTAGACAGTCTTGTCTGACTCCGGTTCTCAGTTGGAATGCAGCTGTCATCTGTCCTCAATGCACGATTTTGCATTGTAGTCCTTCGTATGAATTCCGTATGATACTGACAATGTTTTCATATACTCCGTAGTATCGAAGACGTTTCCTTAATATCCTCCTATTCTCATCGTCAAACACCTCATAATCAATTAAGTTGATGTATAAAATGACGAGTTCCATTCAACGATCATCTTTAACGTCACCATTTAGTCTATATCACTCTATTATTCAGAAAATTCTAACCATAATAATAACATTGAAATAGATTTACTCGAAATAATACACCATCATAATTGGTTTTAAATTCAATTAACCATGTATCTCCACCATTTTTCATTGTAATTGGTTTATTCATATGGGCATAAATTAAACCAGATTTACATGTAATTGAATAAGTTTGTTGTCTTGGCCATATAGGAAATTTATGTCGAATTGCTGGTGGATTTAATAAATGTGTAGTATATTTAGTTGGAAATAATTTAGTACCAATTAAATCATATTGATTCCAATAAAAATTTCTAAATTCACCAATAAATTTTGGTCCAGGTGGTAACATAATTTTCTTTGTATCAATATCTTGATAATAACCAAAATTTGGTGGACCAGCACTGCCTAAATAAATTTGTTGAGCTATTAATTGAAATGTATCATGAGGATCAAGGAGAGGAATTTTCCCTAGTTAATGAGAAGAAAAAAATACACGAAAATTAAGATTATACTAAACTAATTGTTTTAATAAAAGACTTTAGCTACTTATTCGTTTGTCAGTAGTTAAAATCTGTATTGCAAAACTACTCGCTCGTACACTGAACACTTGATGATAGGATGAAGTATTATGTATCTAATACCATAAGATAGAGAATTTAATATACGAAAAGCTACGAATGATTTGATGCAACCTAACAACAAATGAAATGTAAGCGTAGATGGGCTATAATAAATAAGTGAAATACTTCTCTATCTAAAGTTACTATACACATCGCTCCCTATTTGGATCAACCTTGTAGTAAGTTTTTAATACAATAATATGGCTTTCAGAAATTAGGTTTCTAAAGTAAACTTAATCCTCTTCCTTGGGATGATTGGGTCTATTTAGCTTAACTAGATTAGATGACTGAATAATACAATTTTATGACCACACCACACTAATAACTAATTGATCACATACCAACTTATACAGACACAGATACACAAATCATGTTTTAATAGTATAAACAGACTTGTGCTGGATGTGCTAAATATCTAACCTATTTTATTGAATAAATTCGCGAGATACTCCTTGATAGTCTTCAAAAGGTCTAAAGTTTCATTATGATACGGTGTCGGCAATTAAACTATCACTTTTATCATGTTCAAACAGGTTCATACTTCTTTGGTCTTAAACAAAGTCTACTCATTGATCGATGTTAACAATATCTCATTACTATAAGGACATTATGGGTTTTGGATAATCAATTGAGAGTGTTATCGCTAAGCGGTTAAAGTTAGGCCTGTAAACAAATGGATATTGTCTCAACAATTTAAAGCCTATACATTTGCCGTTAGACGTGATGATCCTCAGTTGCATCCTTGATGCGATTGTTAATGCTTACGGATAAAGAGTTCTATACTAGAACGAAACAAATATTCAATGATTTTTGCGTTTTAGCGGTAATTCTAAAGTTCTGATTAGAAGTCGTGACCAGATGACCATACCGATGTTGAGCGTTACGCAGTTGTTATCCACTGAGTATAGTGGAAGACTGTTATGCGATATTATGGTTTGACTGAAGTTAACCATGTCGACAATTAAGATCTCGCCCTAGTGACCTTAAGGTTAGGTGTTCATACACGACACCGGCCCAGAGTTTGATCTTTAGTTGTGAGATCGTTGATGGGTACTGTTGAGCTGTCCTATACAAAGACGAAACAGCTATGCTGGTTTTTTTAGTACTTGTCTATCTAAGATCGATTCATGATGCAAACAGATGCACTAAAAATAGATATTCATATAGTCTCAATCTTTCAAAAATATTAATCTTTGTGTTAATCTTTAAACAAAGATGGATAGTGACTAGCAATGGAATACGTGACGCCCGTTTCGTCCAAAGTGCGTATCAACTCTGGGATGCAGGTACATCCAGTTGACGAGTCCCAAAAATAGGACGAAACACGCGTCCTGTATTCCACTACAAACCACTATCTATTTTTGCTTGTAATGCTTGTGACTTAAGGCAATATCAAGACAATATGCACAGGATATACATATGCCAATAAGAGACTGATGAATTGCAGCTCTTAACAACAATAGGAAAATACAAGTAAACAAAACCAAGTGAATTTGTGTTAACTAAAATCGTAAAATAATAAAGTGAAAAAAATTTTTTAGAAACATAATGTTCAAATGGGTAGGGTTGTATTAAACAAATGAGATCCCATTGAACTGGTAATATCCATAGTATAATGAAGTCGAGTCATTGAACTATAAAGTATCGAATAGATCTCCAAGATTTCTCGATCAGAATTTATAGAACACCAAAGAAACAGTTCAGACCTTGAATATCTTGAATGTACAATAAATTACTAACTCCGCCTGGAGTCCCTCTGGGACTACTGTCGGTCTCAAGCCCGGATACAAGAGAAGGGTTGGGTATGAGGTTAGTGACCCTATCCAGTAGAAAACCAACTAGCTAAAAAAAAACGCTAGCCAGAAAACAACAAATTACTGAACAGACTAAATAATCAATTCAAATTGTTGTTTGATGAATTTTCTTTCCATGAAATGATGGATGTAACTCCTTTCATACTACTGTAGTGAACGAGGGCAACCAAGTGTATTCGAATACAAATGTTACAGAATCACTTAGTATAATCTGAGAACCATACAGTAAGCACTCCATTGTTCTTTGTTGTCGTTCTCTTTTCTCCACTCTTCTTAACTTTCTGCCACCAGGTATTTCACTTTCTATTGACGTTACATACTACTTATATCTCTCGATATCAGTAGCACATAACACACTACTTAGTAAATTCAAATAATAATAGTCTATTTCAGATTTATCCTATGGTATCCTTTACAAACTTCAATCATATCTTCTATCAAATCCATGTCTGAAATCTACTTGCTATTATAGAACCTTAAGTTATCCAATTAGAGTTCTGTATGAATGAGAATAGTTCCATTCTAGATCACCAAACCCCCCGAACTTTTAACACAACTCAAATTCTGGTCAATATAATGCAAATATTTTGTGTTAAAGCATTGGGAAAGAAAATGCTGGTTTTGTGGTTAAGAAAATAAAGCAGGTTTTTTTTATTAGCTCTTGCGAAAAACAACCCAAACTATCAGTAGTATCCAAACAACCGCCACACACACACACACACGCACATGGTGCCAAATAACTTTATATTCACACACTAATAAAACAGTATATTCCTGTGCTAATCAAACAGGAAACAAATTAGGAAAAGAATTGGATAAATGAAGGAACAGAGCAAACAAACAAAAAGAAAGATATCACACTTTACAGTTAGATTCGATGGTATTCCAGCCCTTATACAAATCGAATAATGAGGTGTGGTGCATAAATATTTAGTACCTCCTTGTACTAATGTCTATGTGTTTAGATTACAACTAGCTCACCAATCATCATTTGCTCTACATTGATTATAGTCTAAGTTTTACATGTGTATACAAACAAAATTTTAATATCAGGAGGGTTTTTTGTGTGGATATTATAGTAATTTCAATAGTTGGGATCATGAGCCTATTGAAGCTAGACCACTATGGAAAACGTGGGAGTACTGTATGGTCGTTTCGGCCTATTGTAAGACTTTACACTGGCAGTGCACATCCACAATCCCGCCTCGCAAGCGCTTAATCTCTAGACCACTGAGCCGGTATCCAATAATGTTAATGTCTAACTTCAATCAATCCACGAAATTGAGTGACACATCCACCATTGTCTTCAGTTTTCCATCGTGGTCTAGCTTCAATTGAATCATGATCTCAACTATTGAAATTTCTATAATATCCACACAAAAGCCCTCCTGATATTAACACAGATATGCTTACTAGTAACTGGTTTCAAGAGGTACTTACTGGAGTTCTAGTAAGAAACCGTAACCAGTGGTGTTCAACCGTGTCTGTTGTGAAGTAGTAACCCACTGAAGACAGTGGTAAACGGTGACGTGATTTCATAGATTAATTGAAGTTAGACACTAACACCGTTGGATAAGGGCTCAGTGGTTTACAGGTTAAGAGCTCGTGTGCGAGGCGAATCCAACTAATAAATCACATCAATACTTTCTTAATGTCATAATTGATGCAGAATTAATCCTAAGACCATACGCGCACACACATACATTTTATTTATTTCTTTAAACACATAAACATTGGTACAAGGAGGCACCAAATATCCGCCACATAAATCATCCGATTTCTGTGAGGGCTGGGATACTACCCGGGTGCCCAAACAGAAGTAGATGGTTTTCTTAGGAGACCACACACGGAGCCTTTGACCTAAAGGTCTAATCCACAAGGTAGTAGAGCAACGTCAGGAGATGCAGTCACATGGTATCCGGTGACCGATGATTGGTCCATATACCATTTGTTCTTTCAGGATACTGGATCCCATGAGCACGATTGGTTTGGAATGAAGGTTTTCCAACTCCTCTAAGTAGATCCTTCATATCCACCAACCCGGTTAAAGCACCGGACATTCTCAAACAATACCCCGTTTGCGTGAATGTAGTGAGTAGGACTTCTCTGACAGTAACTGTATGCACGTGGCATACGTATACTTGTATGCGCATACACATAATACACTTATTATTACCATTATCATAAGTTAAATAAGTAGTTGCACAAAAAATCAAATTGGCGCCAACATTCAAACAACCAATCATTATCACATGTGTTATAACATTTCAAATGTTATTCAAAAAGTGAAACAGCAACACAACACACCACACAGTTGCCATAACAACAAAAAACAGGAACCAAAAAAGAAAAGTGTGATTAAAAAACAAAAACAAACTAGAGTAGCATAATCTTTAGTTGGTTGGTTGGTTGGTTGCTTTTAAATCAAATTGCTACTCACAGATATTGAATCGTTCTATGAAATAAAATAAATTGTTATTTTGATGCAAATGGGAAAATTCTGTTTATAAATGAGGTGAAATATATGATTGTATTAGGTGAATATTATATGTAGAGTGAGGGAGGGAGGGAGTGAGTGAATGAATGAGAGAGGGAGGGAAGGAGGAGGGGGAGAAATCGAGATTAAGAGCAACAGGATAACACCAAGACTACATGTAACATTTGTAATAGAGTATTTGATGCAGGCGTTGAATTACACAGAATAACGATAATAATAATAATATTATGATTACATAATTCAACAAAATGTTAGTATTTTAACAGTTGAATTCACGAGTCAATCTAAGCTAGACCAGTATTGAAAACCTGGAAGCATTAGACGGCTGTTTTGTTCTTGTACGTGATTCATCAATGGTAGTGTACATCGTTGATCTAGTTTAAATCGACTCGTGAATACAGTTGTTGGAATACTATGGTTTCAATAAATCCATCACAATGATGAAATATTAGTTGTATATATATACATATGTAAATTGAATAAATCATCAGATTGCATCACAAAGCAAGAGCTAACTTGGAATCCTGAAGGGAAACGGAAAAGAACAAAACCAAGAAACACACTTCGTCGAGAATTCGAAACAGACATAAAAAAGGATGAATAGTAACTGGAAAGGATTATCCAGTAGAGAGTTGGACGGAGAATGATTATGAGCGACCTATGCTCCTCCAGGAGGGATAACAAGAGTAAGCAAGCATATATAGGTTAATAGATAGATAGATAGATAGATGGGTAGATAGTTGGTGTTATGAATGACTAAAAAATATGAACTGTATATTAGTTTGCATGCTTGTTACAATGAAATGACATACATGATTTTGGTTTGTTAATTGTAAACAGTTAACAGTCATGTTAATCACCTTTTCCATTGTTTAAGTGAGAGGTTTTGTTCTTCCTTCTAGATTCTATTATCATCACATTATTCTAATTTCATTCGATTTATGATTAGTACAGATGTTGGTAACACAGAACGCAATCCGTGATCAAGGTGCATTGGGTGTTTATGATCTGACAAGATGACCTAATATGATCGATTTACGTGAGAGAATCTCAAAAACAATCTGTATGGACATCACTTTATTGTGTAATATTCATTAGCATTGCACAACATATTTGGTCACATATTATAACCATTCAAGTAATTGGATACCTCCTTATATAAGATAGTATTCCATCTTAGTCATTTGTTTAGTTATTCTAATAACTAATGGACTTACCATTAATGTTCATATACTTTCTGAACAGATCATTTATGAATGTAGGATAGTTTCTGTCAGTTTACCAAATAAAATCAAATGACTAGTGTTGGAAACAGTTGGAAGGAAGTTAGGAGTGACCAAACCAAATCGTGGTATCAGTACTTGAAGACACTAACTTCGGGTCTGAGCCATGTTGGTAGATACAGACTACTTAGTTGAGATCCGCGTGACTGTCGTGACCGATGTTTGGAGACTGTGTGTGAAATGGCTCGGAATCCATCACAATGGCGTTGGTGTATACACTCTCTGTCTTCCCTTAAGCTACGATATTATAATCGCTTCATATCTTTCTTTCTACGAACTAATTCTTTCTTCCTGTACTATGTCCTTATATGCAATCTTTCTTTTATGTATTACTACCATTAAAGTAACTACTTCTATGAATTCGGTGTTTATCTTGTTGTGCTAATGAGGTGTGGCAACTTGGACCGATACATATATGTAACTGATCCTACGTTGTAGCTGACTGACTTATGAAATAACACAATGAAAAGGGACTTTCATGAATAAACTCTGTAGTTAGATGATAACAGTAAAGTACTCCAAGTGAAAGATCAATACTTAACACAACACAACCAAAAGGGTTCATATCACTTTACTTACTAAATTGTAATTAAAACACATAAAATCAGTTGTAAGTAATGCAAAAGATGTGTAGTTTATCTAAGAAATATGATTTGCTAGTGAGATGGATACTGATACATTATTTAAACGTCCATTATTCAATGTTACCAAGGCTAATATCAAGTAGATATCTCTTTTTACAGATGATTTAATGAAATAAACTGTTAAGTACAACATATTTTTAATTGAGATCATGAATCGATTGATGCTGGACCACCACTGAAAACCTGTAAGCACTGGACGGCCGTTTTGTTTTACTGTAGGACTCCTCGACAGCGCGCATCTACGAACCCAGGACCTTCAGTCTCACGCAAAAACGATCAACCTCCAGACTACTGACCTGCATCCAACGGTGTTAATGTCTAACTTTAATCAATCCACGATATTGTGCGACCGTCCACCATTGTTTTCGTGAACAAAACCGGAGGTCCTAGGTTCGAGTCTCGCGGGTGGGATCGTGGATGCGAAACCCTTCCAGGTTTACCATGGTGATCTCGCATCAATCAATTCATGATCTTAATCAAAACTCAACAATCTCCACAAACCCATACTGATAAATACAATATATATATTTGTCTAAATAGTTCATGTTAACAAAAAATTCCCCCCCCCTCCAAAAAAAGATTACAGTTATCTACAATTTATATTTTGTAGGTGTTCTAATCACCAAGTGAATAGTAAATTAGGAATTGTTTTCTTTTTTCTTGCACACCCTCTTTTATCCTAACAACTATCCACCATTGCATACCTCTTAACGGTGTATCAATTAAAAGTCGACCTGAAAAGTTTATTTTTCAAGAGAGGGTAAATTGAAACAATCTAAAAATTGATTGTCAGTACAGGCTAAAATAAAGAAGATTTAATGATAACAATTATATCCTTATTCGAATGAAGATTTGTGAAGATTGTAGTAATTTTAATGGTTGAATTCATCAGTTAATCTAAGCTAGATTGTCATTGAATACCTGGAAGTACTGGATGGTTGTTTCGTCCTAGTATTGGACTCCTAAATGGCAGTGCGTATTCACGATCAAGAATGATTGTGTAAGATCGATGTTAGACACTAATATCGTCGAATCCTAGCTCAGTGGTCTAAAAGTTAAGTGTTTACGCGAGAGATCAAATGTTTTGAGATTGATTCTTGTGTATGAGATCATGGATATGCACTATTTAGGAGTCCCATACTGAAACGAAACGGCTTTCCGGCTTTCCATGGTGGTCTAGCTTAGATTGACTCATGAATTCAGCCATTCACATTTTGAATACAAACTAAGATAGTTTTAGCTAACTGTTCATCGTCATCATCATCAACTTATCTCTCAAGTGACTTGTTATTCTTTCAAATAAGTGTATGTATGTATGTGTACTAACTTACGTACCTTCAGAAGATATTTATAGCCTATTGTGAGTTCAATCCCTGTGAAACTCAACGGGTTTCATCCTTCACCGGATGAAATACAGCTGATTACTACAGAATTCATACGAAGAATTCATTTGGTAATCGAAGGTGATTTCGTGGAAGTATAACTCACTGTTTAGAAGTTGTCTTTTTTTACGAAGTATTCACAGATAATGCATTACTGTAAGGAACCATGTATGATATTGAATCGATTCAATCCTCTACATACATACATTATTCATAATCAATTCAAACCTGGAAGATGGAACATGAAAATGATATGATAGTTGTAAAATGTTCTCGATCTAATCGGAGGATAGTTCCATCGTGATAGGTTTGAATCTATCACGAGTTTACTTAATCGGCGAACGAGAACAAGACTCGGTAACCAAAGATCAGTAAGCTAGCTATTGATGCATCCCAGCTCCGCTAACTAGAGGGAGAAGTCCGAGCTTGGAATGAGAATTATATTCTACAAAACAGCCAGAAACGAGCGATAGCAACAAACACAATTCAAAACGTATATATACAGTGCAAAACCGTCCTTGGGGAGAGTTACTAAATAGCATACTAAAAGACGCAACGGACCAATAGCATTTAAGATATTTCCCAGTGGGGAATACGACATGAAGGTGACAAGAGCGCTTTTGGCGCGAAAACAAAGAAATTCAAATTTCTAAATAAATTACAAAATTAGGTCCTTTCCCAAGTGAGTTCTGGGGATCTAACGTCCCCAAACACATTGTTCAGATATAATATATTACATATATCCACTTGACTTACCAGTTATTGAAGCTCTATCAACAGAGATGACAATATAATCAGCACGACGTGCAATATGTAATGTATGCCAACGATTATCATTTAATGTAGCACTTGGAAGAAAGAATTCCTATAAGAAAAGAATAGAAACAACAAAAGAATTGATAGCAAAAAGGGGGAATTCCATTAGGAAAAGGAAAAATTCATTCAAATTAGATAATGGTTAATAGTGAAAATCAAGATGGAGGTTTCATTCTATTTGGGATTTGTCAGCCAAATATACCTGCCATCTCAATTATTTATTGATTTGAACACATAAATATTGGTACAATGGGGTATCGAATACATATGCGCCACAAAAATCACTTGATTTGTATATGGACTGTGATACCGCCCGTCTGGCCAAACTGATGCACGTATTTTTCTTTGGGGGATCACTTTTCGAGCCTTAAACCTAAAGGTATAATGCAGAAGGCAGGGGAGCAACATAAGGCGATGCAGTTACATGGTGGTCGGTGACGAAGGATTAGTTCATATACCATTTGTTCCTTCAGGATCCTGGAGCCCATATGCACCATTGGTTTGGAATCAGGGTTTTCTAACTCCCATAGGTGGATCCTTCATATCCACCAACCCGTTTAAAAAGCCGAACACTCACTTTCCGTCCTCTCAATTCCGTAAACAACACCCGTGTTGCGAGAAGGCAGTGAGTAGAACTTTGCTGACAGTGGCTGTATATGCGCGGCCATGTAAGAGCATTTGGAGAGGGTGAGCTGACTCTCCCCACCCTCGGCCGTACCATCTCAATGGTCATGTGAATATTGGGACTAGAACCTAGTACACTTTATTTTAAATGCCATTGAACTCTGATTCCAACAAGTCACTAGCTTATACATGCATAGGATTAGTCTCACATTCTTTCACTTCTAGTCAATATCTAACTTCCATTCAAAACTCTTGACTAAATAGTAAAGTTAATAGTTCTAATGTAGTGAAGGATAACACAGGTGAGGAGAACCGAATATATTTAGCACAAAATTATAGAATTGCTTATAGAATAGAAAAAAAATCATACGCCAATACTTCATTTGCAAATTGTTCATTAATTGTCTCAGACTTCATTGTTCCTGCATTTCCATACCAATTACTTTCCTCCTCAATCTTCTCAACCTTCTATTCCCGGGCATTCTATTCCTGACTAGCATTACATACTACTTATGTCAACATAACTAGCACACATCACACTATGATGAGGTTACAAGTGGAAATTATTAAGTAGTTTTGAAATAGTACAAAAAATAACTCTCCAGTTCTCTTCAGTTGATATCGACAATCCAAAATGTAAGTTCAATTTAGATGGAACAAAATTGACAAACCGTTTATCTAAGAGAAATCAGTTTCACTGATTTAATTTATTGGTAACACTTATCAAACATTACTCTAACTTAGGGTACTATTGAAAGCCAGTAATTACTGTATATCTACTTTGTTCTAATATGGGACTCTTCAGTAATTTACATCCATGACTTCATCAAGAATCGAACTTCAGACATCCAGTTTTTTTTTTCGAGGAAATCCTTAACCGTTAGTAGCTTCAGTGGATTAGAGTTCGAGTTTTACCAATGAAATTCAGAATCTGAAGGTCCTAGGTGTTGTCCTTGATGTGATCATCGATATATACGGCCAAATAGTCTCATACTAGGATGAAATAATTGTTCAGTGATTATTGATTTTCATTCGACGTCTAACAGACTGTTATATCGCGACGAAAATAATGAATGGTAAATGTTGAGATCTATTTGTGGACTAATACTATATGTATATTCTTATTGTATAATTATTAAGCAGCTAAACTATGTGTATTCATGTTCCTCTTATTATAAGCTTTATTTTTACCCATTGACTACTATTATACGATTTATCATTCTTGAGTTATACCCAGTATATTCATTATAGTCTCCCACAATCACAACCATTTTTGAGTAGATTTTGTACAAATGTTATTTCCTATTTTGTGGTGTGATTTGGTCTGTTTGGTTTATATATAACTCAAGTATGTTTGAAATACATGATTCATATCGCCGACGCTGAGATTGATATTCTGGACTCAACAGACAGTGCTAAGCAGGAAGAAGAACCGAAAGAGACTCTAGACTATCTGTACGGGTTCTTATGCGTCATTGGTCTGGTTGATAAGTCACTGTTGTCTAATCAGCGGTATCATTACGTCATGTATTGATAAGGGAACAAACCTACAAGTTATAACACAAACATCAATCCATGATTCTAGTCTATGAAAATGTAACCATCTCCACAACAATTGGATAGAACTAGAAAGGAACGCCTAGGACAGAGTAGGTTGGAGAATGTTCGTCGGTGACCTATGCTCCATTGAGAGTAACAGGCGTAAGTAAGTAAATAAGTGATAAAAACTAAAAGCATATATATCAATTAAAGTCAATTTGTTCAAGAATTCAATCTACCTCGAATGCATTTGATTTGCCTTTATGATTAATATTGGTTTGAACACGTATTTGTCCATTAACTAAATCTACACGAAAATATGATTTATCAGCCCGAGATACTGAATAGAATAATGGTAAATGATCCGTTTGTCCATAGAGATTAGTTTCTGTTTTAAATTGTAAACTAATATCATCTGTATGTGTAATTAATTTATTGATTTGTTCTTCAAAATCAACTACATATACCATATCACCATCCATTTCAAGTATTGGAGCATCTAATCAATGAGAAAAAAAGAGAAAGAAAAAAAACATTAAAAGTAAACCGTAAAACAGGGTAACAACAATAATTTGGATGACTCACTCGGCCTTCCACATTGCGCGAGCATTCCATGTACCTAAATTAATGGTTGCTCTGATTGTCAGAAGGGACATCAGCTTCGTGACTTCCGAAGGAACTCGGCTTTCACTATGAGGCGTCATAACTCATCTAAATGAAGACCTTCTAACTCTAAGGGAAGAGTTTAAATGGTTTGAATTATTTCTTCTGGTTAGCGTTTTCTCAGGGAGTTAGTTTTCTACGGGGTAGGGTCGCTCACCCCATGCCGGGCCCTCCTCCTTTATCCGGGCTTGGGACCGGAGATAGCCCAAGAGGGACTTCAGGCGGAGAAAGAAATCAGGAAGAAGCGCTGGAAGTGGATAGGACACACATTGAGAAAACACCCATCTGCGTCCCAAGGCGAATCCCCACTTGGAATCTCAAAGGCCAAAGGAGGAGAGGAAGACCATTGAACACATTACTCTGAGAAATGGAGATAGACATGAGAAGAGTGAACAATAATTGGATAGAGCCAGAAAGGCAGGCCCATGACAGAGTAGGTTGGCGAATGCTGGTCGGTGTCCTATGCTCCATCGGGGGTAACAGGTGTAAGTAAGTAACCCCTAACGATACTTGTTTTCTCAATATGCGAAATTTAATTACAAATTTAGGAAAAATTAGAGTGACCTTTTAAACTTTATTACTTTTGGAAGGAGTTCCTTCAGATAGGTGGATTTCATAGTTCACATCACAAACTGGATTTGCTTAAATAACCACTGAAAATAAAGAAGTATAGGGGATTTGTTTCATCCTAGAGTAGGACTTCTCAACTACACTCACCTACGATCCCACCACCAGAGATCGGACACAGGACCTCCAGTCTCATATGCAAACGCCAGATATCTAATGGTATACATGCACCTTCCATCCATTTACTTTTGATGAATGACCTTCTCACTTCTGATACAGACTGAACTTCAATAGTTACAGCTTCTCACCAGAATTTAAGTTTGTGATTTAAACTGTGAAAATTCTATGATCCACATAAATTCTTCTATTTTGATAATAATTATGTGTTCACTAGTGACTAGCTTCACGATTTAACTTTTAGAGTTCTAATGAGAAACAGTCATCGAATGCTTCGAGTTTTACAAGCGTGGTCTAACTAAGATCAATTCGTGATTTAAATCAATAGAAAGCTAACACTCAATGTAACTATTCCATAATCCATCATAGTAAGAATAATCTGTGTTATAGCTTCAAACCCTTTAAAGAGATGTGATTGTTAAATGGAGTGAAACAAAAAACTGGGGCTGTGGATTCGAAAGAACCAGATTTTAAGCTATGATCCCGTCGTGGTTGAGCTCAAACATAATAAACCAATAGTCCACGCCACATGAAGCACATACATAAGAGTACTACTGCTACTACTTCTGTAGTGAAGGAGAACAAAGGTGAGGACAACTGAATTGTAGTTAGCCCATCATTAACGAGTTACTTGGTAAAATAGAAAAACTATATAGTGAATCGTTAATTTGCAAAATATTAATCCATAATATCAACCTGGACTGTTTCTGTTGCAAACATCAATCCATTGTCTCACATTTCATTGTTCATGCGTTTTCTTACAAATTGCATTGTGTTTCCGCTATTCCTTTCTTGATTTTCCCCCATCTTCTGCTGCCAGACATTACGTTTTTAATTCGCGTCATACACTACTTATATCAATATAAGTAGCACGCAACACACTACTACTACTACTACTACTACTACTACTACTACTACTACTAATAATAATAATAATAATAATAATAATAATAATAATAGATACCTCGATCACATCCGACAGATCGTCGAATATCCATAGTTTTCTCTGGAAATGTTTTATCTGATTCACTGCAATCACAAGCAAAATTTAATTCTTCTAAAATGGATATGAACGCCTGGAACATCGTCCACCACCGCAGATTTTTTCATTACAACGTTGTTTCGGTACTTCACATTGTCCTAAACGAATTCCTTTGCCAATATCAGTATGTTGAATCATTCGACTGAAAATGTGAATGGTGAAAGATATAGATTATTCATTTAACATCTTAAGAGTAAATGTGATAAAGACATTTTGAACCGAAATCTGGTAGTTTGAACTTTTAGCTTTACATACTTTCAACATGGTTAGGAGACTATTCAATGATACCTTCGGGTAAATACTTCAGTCTTTACTTCGTATAGACTAAATAATTAGAGGTAGTGAACAGGAAATCCTGCTTGACGTAGACTGTGTGCTAGTTGTCATTCGTCAAAAAAGTGTATTTGTAATCTTGAGGAGACTGATGATCCTCGTAGGACTTCAACTCGCGTTCACCTAGATTCACAGTCTGAGATTTTAGGTTTGAGTTGTTCGTACCACTACTAATCTCTTGTAAGGTTGAGATATTTACATTGATTGACATACTGTATTAAAATAGGAGTATGAACATCATGTATAGTTAGATCGATTAAATTGTGATCAGGTGATAGATAATCCACTCAATGGCACCCTACTGATCTTGGAGATCTATTTATTAGGTTGACAAACACGCATTGGTGACTTGCATAAAAGTAGCTAATTGTATGAATTGAACAATCTTCATATCTAGTCTGTGTATATTGTCTGATTTACATGTTATGCTCTTAGAAACAGTTACAAATGGTGCAGGTACATACACTTTCTAACTTCCCTATAGATGTTGTACTCCAGTATTCCTTTATATATATATATATATATATATATATATATATATATATATATATATATATATATATATATATATATATATATATATATATATATATATCCTTTCGTCTCATCTACCTATACTCTATATCAGTATGTCGTTGTAGAGATTATTAAGTTTTTGATTGAAATCATGACCATCATGGAAGATAGTCGCGCAATTTCGTGGATTGATTGAGGTTAGACATTAACACCGTTGCATACCAGCCGGCTCAGTGGTCTAGAGGTTAAACGTTCACGTGCAAAACTGAAGGCCCTGTGTTCGAATTACGTGAGAGGGATCGTGGATGTGCACTGCTGAGGGGCCCCATAATAGGACGAAACTGCCGTCCAGTGTTTCCAGGTTTTCAGTGGTGGTCTATCAACAATTGATTCATGATCTCAATCATATACTCTCTATGTTTGATCTTTCTCAATGTCACTAATTCCATAATTACTTTGAATCTTTTGCTATTTATCATATTAATTTCAGATTGTTGTACTACTTTGGTATGGCAATTCGAGTTAACATATATTTGTATCAGACTCTAAGTTTATCATAACCAGCTGACTGAATATGTATTTGGTTAATCCCATAACATAATCAAGCTGATAATAGAATGATTTCACAATGATGAATGCTCCATGAGAACTACCATTGACCTTATTACTTCATTACAGGTGGTTTGAATTTCAGTCAGAATATAAGTCCCATGAACAGTATGAACTACTACTGTAATGAACGAGAATACAAGTGGGAACAATCTAATGTATTTCAGTACAAAATTACATAATGCCTTAGTAAAATCTGAGAATCATACAGTAAATACATCATTTACAAATTGTCAATCAGTCGATTCAAACCAGACTGTTCCTTTTGCAAATGTCGATCAATCGTCTTAGACCTTAATATTCGTTCATTTGCATAACAATCATTCTCTGTTCTCGTTCTTTTATCCTCGATCTTATTAACCTTCTGCCTTTAAACATTTCACTTTCGATCGATGATATATACTACTTAAATATGTCGACATCAATTGGACACACACTAAACGACTAACAAAAATAGATATCTGTCGAATGCTATCAACTAACTGATTAGAAAGAAAGAAACAATACAAACTAAAGTTTTAAAACGATCATTTGAGAATAGAATCATGACTGGTAAATAGTGACATTAGTTTTAAAAGAGTTTTAATACTTTATTTCTATTCAAACACAATCCAATATCCTTATTTCGGGGGAAACTTTTGTCAGTTTCGGGCAAATTTTGGGGAAGCTGCAATAGAAAACTTTAGGGAAATAGAACAAAAACCCCAAACTTACCCCAGGTCTGAGGAAAACTATCAAACTTTTCACGACTTTCGGAAAACCCTCAAAATTTATCCGAAATTCCCCAACGTATCCTCAAAATAAGGAGATTGGAAAGTTTCCTCTGTTACATTTCTGAACTCCTTAGCATGATGTCAACCTATATTCCAATATTCACTTTGTGTTGTTATACTTGTATCTTCCCATTGTTATTTAGGGCTGTAATTGATCAGTCTCTTGTTGGAATATGTGTATCCTGTGCAGACTGCCTCAATACTCGATTATGTCACAAGCTTTTTAAGCAAAGATGGATGGGGGCTAAGGTAATTCACCCCATTTCACAAGCAGGTGGCTATCAGGAGTCAGTATCTAAGTGGATAACGGGATGGCTTTTGAAGCTAACGATACCGGGTTCGAGTCCCGCAGTGAACATCAACTCTGAGATGCAGCTGCATCCAGCTAACGAGTCTTAAATAGGATGAAGCGCGCACCACGTATTCCACTGCTAGCCACTATCCATCAATGTTCCAAGACTTTAAAATCTCCAACTAAACATGTGATGCATGCCAACTGGTGAATAAGAATTCAAAAGTTAATAATTTCATTTTCAGCCATCTTTTATATGTTAGATATAGAGTTAATGTTGTTGTAAGTACAGTCATGCACTAATCAGTCTCAACAAACTTATTGAGCACAACAGGTCAGGCTTAGGTAGTCGTACTGAGGTAAATTTTCTAATGACTTCAGACCAGACAATTATTGACTGTGTTCTGATTAACGCTACAGACTAAACCCCATTGTCTCCAGAGTACTTACTTAGTTACTACTTACTTACGCCTGTTACCCCTAAATGGAGCATAGGCCGCCGACCAGCATTCTCTAGTCCAATCTATCCTAGGCCTTCCGTTCTAGTTCTGTCCAATTGTCTCCATAGTAACTCATGTAGAGTAAACACTTAGAAATAGTCTGATTTGATAGTTACTTAAAATGTTGGAAAATTATCTCCAATAATTCTTTTATCTGTTCAACTCACAAAAACAACCAACTTCATTCATTGAAATTTTATTTAGTTTAAAAATCGGTACAAGGAGGCACCAAGTAGATATGTGCCACATAAATCATTTAATTTATGTGAGGGCTAAGATACTTCCCAGGTGCCCAAACCGAAGCAAGTGGTTTTCTTAGGGGGCCATTCCACGAGCCTTTGACCTAAAGGTATGATCCACAAGGCAGTGGAACAACGTCAAGAGATCCAGTCACATGGTAATCAGTGACCAACGACTGGTTCATACGCCATTTGTTCCTTCAGGTTACTGGAGCCCATGTACACCATTGGTTTGGAATGAGGGTTTTCCAACTCCCCTAGGTGGACTCTTCGTGTCCACCAACCCGATTAAGGCGCCGAACATTCTAATTTCTTCCTCTCAACTTCATAAACAATACCCCTGCCACGAGAAGGCAGTGAGTAGTACTTCCCTGGTATGAAAAATAATGTAAAAGAGCGAGCTGGCGAGCAGGCGGTCGTGCAAGCGAGCGAGTAAACAGTCAGTTGAGATAATAATAATTATTATTCTCTTTCACTTACGATGAAACATCTAAATAACTGTTTTCATTTACTAATATTGAATGAATACAACCGGCAAAATTTTCACGTGACCAAACATGCCATGGTAAACGACCCACATTATCAATACTTCCAATATAAGTATATGTAGCAAATGCAGCTTGATGCGCTTCTTTACCCTCTTCAACATCGACTAATTGATTATTGAATTTTACCTGTCAACATAAAAAAAAGAAAGAAACGTGAGTTTTATTATAAAATGTGAATAAAACATAGAAATACACTTGGTATTGTTTTGTATGAATCTTCCCATTGATGTTTAGGACTGCAATTGATCAGTCTCTTATTAGCATATGTGCATACCGTGCGTATTACCTCGAGTCCCAGAGTAAACATCAACTCTGAGATGCAGGTACATCCAGTTGACGAGTCCCAAATAGGACGAAACGCGCTTCCTGGATTCCACTGCTAGCCAGTATCCATCTTTGCTTATAAACATAAGAATGGTTACAGAATCATTATTACATAATCTGTAGTGAATATAACTATGATAATGAATATCAATAAGCAATGTGCAATTGATTTAGATGTAAGGTTACTTGATACTGTCTGTTATCATAGATAAATATCAGTTCAAGAATCTCAAGTGAAATTATATATGTGCGTGCTACTAAAGCGACTTATAGTGATGGTAATTTAGACTTATATTAAGATTACTATCCGACCTAAGTCTAAACAACCTTTAAGAATATGGAAGTACTGGACTGCTGTTCTGTCGTAGTATGGGACTCCTCAGCAGTGCGCACCCAAGATCCCGCCCCCGCGAGATTCGTACCCAGGACTTATCAGTTTGTACATAATTTTCATTTTTATTCACGCTTTTCTCATTTATACAATCTATGTTATGAGCTGTAAATATCCAGTTTATTCTTGAATTACTACCCATGTTATAGCAACCTCTCCTAAAATCAGTCCATAAAGTCATTAACTTTTAGTCTGAGCCATGTTGGTATATGCAGACTACTTGGTTGGGGTTAGTGCGACTATCGAAACCAATGGTTGGAGACTGTGTGTGACATGGCTCATAATCGATCACAATGACTTCGGTGTATATACTCTCTGTCTTCTCTTAAGTCATGAGATTAAAATCGCTTCATATCTTTCTTTCTACAAACTAATACTTTTTTCCTGTACTATTCCCTTATATGCAATCTGTCTTCTATATATTACCACCATTGAAGTAACTATTTCTATGAAGTAAATGTTCATCTTGTTGTGCTAATGAAATATGACAACTAGAACCAATGTTTATACGCGCTTGGTCCTACGTTGTAGGTGACTGACTAATCACTTAGAAGTTATACAGTCCGAAATAAAATTTGAAATTGATTATGTCCATATGTCCATGAAATCGTTGCGAAATAATGATTGATCTTGGGGACTGGTTAACCATAAAGAGTTGTGAATGTTCGGTTTGATTATACCTATTACGATTATATATACATGCTAGATACTTTCTGGTTAGCGTTTTTGCTACTTATACACACCAACAAATGCAGGCGAAGACAGACAGTGTAGCAGCAACCTCTGCCACAATAGGTCTCAACATACACGAAGAAAAAAGTAAGATGTCGTAATAGAACACAGTGAGCACCAACTAAATCTCGCTTAATGGTGAAGCTTTAGAACAGTTGTAAACATTTACGTACGTAGGCATCATTATTGATAAACAAGAGGGATCTGATGCATATAGAAACATATGTATTGGTAAAGCAAGGGCGGCAATTCTACAATTGAAGAACGTATGAAACTTAAAACAACTGTCTGTCAGCCAACATAAATCTTCATTTTCCACAAGAACGTCAAGACAGTTCCATTGTATGGATCTGAAACTTGAAGAATTACTACAATTATCATCAAAACGGTACAAGTACTTATAAACAGTTGTCCACACAACATACTCAACCATCTTCCAACTGAAGAGGAAATTAGGAAAAGACGTTGAAAGTGGATAGGACATACATTGAGAAAATCACCAAACTTCATCATGAGGTAAGCCCTAACTTGAAATCCTGAATGTAAACGGAAAAGAGAAAGATCGAAGAACACACTACATCGAGAATTGGCAGTAGACATCAAAAGAATGAATAGCAACTGGAAAGGATTGCCCCATATCCTTACAATTGTTATCTCCTCCTAGTCTACACTTGTTAATCATTACAACTTAAAGTCATTTCATTCATCATCATATATAAACAAGCAAATTCAATTTATAAATTAACTTACAGTAAATCTATGCTGTGCATTACGTGATACATATACACTATAAATACCTCCATCATTCACAACTGTTTTAGGTGGATTCAATCGAATATGTTTATAATGTCCACCAACTGCATAAACAAAATAAACATTTCCATCGAATAATTCTACACAAACAAAATCTCTATGTTCTTGATCAGGTCCACTAGATGAAATAAATAAACAAAAACAATATTGATATCAAATAGTCAGTTAACATGTGTAAAGAACCAGTTTTTATAATACATTTAAGCAGTTGTATTTACTTGGTGAGTAGTGTTAGCTGACTCCCATTCATCATTAGTCTATATTGAGTTATATTCATCTAGAATAGCTCCCGAATGCCCTGATATGGTCGAGAGTGAGGAGAGTCAGCTCTCTCTCTCTCGCTCGCTCGCGAAATGCTCTCACATGGTCATGTGCATACAATCACTGCCAAGGAAGTCCTGCTCACTATCTTCTCGTAAAGTGGTGTTGTTTACGAAATTGAGAGGACGAAAGGTGAATGTCCGACGCTTTAACCGGGTTGGTGAACACGAAGAGTCTACCTAGGGGAGCTGGAAAACCCTCATTCCAAACCAGTGACGTACATGGGCTCCAAGATCGTGAAGGAATAAATGGCGTATGAACCAATCGTTGGTCACTGGTTACCATGTGACTGCATCTCTTGACGTTGCTTCACTGCTTTGTGGATCATACCTTTAGGTCGAAGGCTCGGGGAGTGGCCCTCTAAGCAAACCACTTGGTTCGGTTTGAGCGCTTGATCAGTATCCCATCCCTCATATAAATTGGATGATTTATGTGGCACATATATATTTGGTATCTTCTTGTACGAATGTTTAGGTGTTCAAATAAATAAATAAATCATCTAGAATAGAATACTTGAATATTGTCATTTAATCACCACACGTTTTAATGAGTCTACGTAATACCCAGTAAAGAGATCTAAAACGAAGTTTTCATTCAGTTTAAAGTTCGTCAACACCATCTACTTAGATCTATGTGTTGATTTTGAGAACGAAAATAGAAAATTCATATCTATTGCACAAACAATTGTCTACTGAACTCAGTATCACAATAAATAATGCATTAAATGTTTAGAGTATGAGGCAGTGGGTTCGAGTCCCAGACATATCCAGATGATAAACATTAAGAATTGTGAAACACGCTTCCCGAACTCCACCACTAACCACAATATAACATTCATAAAAACTAATCTTCATGATAAATTTGTTAAGCTAGTACGAAATGAGAACATGTGACCGAAATATTTTCTGGACTACTTTTATTAAAAAGTAATACAACATTATAAAGCCGTTTATTACGTGTTTGATTACAAACAATACCTTATTATTCATTTGTATTGGTTGTTTAAATCTTTTCATCTCCGTTTAAGATGGCAAATGATCAATCTCTTTTGGTATATGTGCATCCTATGATGATTGACTCGATACTTCCTTCACTCACAAACACTATGTCCTGGGTTCGAATCTCGTAAGGCGAGATCGCAGATGTGTACTGCCACTGAGGATTCCCATACTAGGACGAAACACCAGTCCAGTTCTTCCAGGTTTACCATGGTGGTTAGCCTCAATTGACTCATGATCTCAACCATTAAAATGATCTTTACAATTTAACCATCTAATTCAAAGAACCTAACTCAACCGAAATCATATCTATAAGCTGCAAATCTTCTCTACCATCTCACCACCTAAATGTTTATTCTATATATAATCTCATTTAAATTAATTTATCTGTGACGAAACCTCTTAGATGAATAAACAAAAGACAACTAAGAACTGAAAACGTAACATGAGTTTTTCTTGAAGCCTTAACAATGATAGTCAGTGTGTATGAAACGAATAACAGAATAATAAGTAATCAAGTCTATTGTGGGGGACATTTTTTAAGTTGAATTAGGAACAGTGTCTACAGACAGATATCACCGACAGTACTGCATCATTGTGAAGTATCGTCAAGAATTAATAAAAGTTAACAATATGGAAAACTAACGAATTCCATTGTTATCTTCTTAGGGAATAATGTGGCAAAATTGAAGAAAGTTCAAGATTACCACAAGACAGATACCCAGTACTTCCTTGATTGAAGCTGATGACAAGAGATACTACACATTAGGCCTTAGTGATCAATTTTTTTCCAAAGATTTCTGTTAGCTACTGATTATTTAGTTAGTAGGCTAGTCCACTGTCAACTTTTTCTAGGCTTGTTGCACAGTCATCATTTAGCTAACTGCTTGAGTCATAGACAAAAGTAATTTCTTAGGAACAATATACAATTTTGTTTGTTTAAGCATTAAATTTATCTAAATTTCCCTATTAGAATTCAGTGCTCAATAAGAAACAGTATCATTTTGATGGAGTTTTGTTCTCTAAGTTGGAAGAGTTGGTCGTGGAGCTTCCATCGTTATCCCGAACAACATCATCAACACAAACTTCAAGTAGAAGTGGAGTGTTTGAATTTCTCCTCACATGGCTCATAGCTTTTCCTGTCAACTTCGATCTTCATTGGTCATTGTTGACCTTCAACCTGTCATTGTTTAATTAAAATAAAGTAAACAATGACCATTCCAAAGTAGCACGAAATGCACTTGTAGGATGGGAGTCTCACGGATCCAGAATCATCAAAGCATCATTCAAAACAAAGAAGGAGGGGATCTTAATGAATATTATCCAATGTTATGCACCCACCAATGATAGCAACGACGACATTAAAGATCAGTTCTACGAGCGGCTGCAGTCAATCATTGAGAAATGCCAAGAAAGGACCTAACTATTCTGATGGGAGATCTAAATGCCAAAGTCGGAATAGACAACACCGGATATGAAGATATTATGGGACGACATGGACTGGGAGAGAGAAACGAAAATGGAGAAAGATTTGCAAATCTATGTGCATTCAACAAATTGTTCATAGGAGGCACAATATTTCCACACAAGCGTATACACAAGGCTACATGGATCTCACCGGACCACACTACAGAGAACCAGATAGATCATATTTGCATCAACAAAAAATTCCGAAGGACAATGGAAGATGTGAGAACCAGGAGAGGTGCTGACGTAGCTTCAGATCACCACCTAGTTGTAGCCAATTTAAAACTGAAGCTAAAAAAGAACTGGACAAGTGGACAAACAGCACTACAAAGGTTCAATACAGCCTTCCTTCGAGATACTGACAAACTCAATGAATTCAAGATAGCTCTCAACAACAGGTTCCAAGCCTTACAAGATCTACTGAAGAAGAAGAAACTACTATGGAGGACAACTGGAAAGGCATCAAGGAAGCATTAACTTCAACGTGTCAAGAGGTTCTGGGCCTAAAGAAACACCATCATAAGGAATGGATCTCTATAGAAACACTGGACAAGATCAAAGAAAGGAAGAACAAGAAGGCAGCAATTAACAACAGCCGAACACGAGCAGAGAAAGTCCAAGCACAAGCTGAATACATAGAAGCAAACAAACAAGTGAAGAGGAGCATTAGAGCCGACAAGAAGAAATACGTGGAAGAACTAGCAACGACGGCAGAAAAAGCTGCTAGAGAAGGAAATATGAAACAGCTATACGATACAACGAAGAAACTAGTAGGGAAATACAGTAAACCAGAGAGGCCGGTCAAAGACAAAGAAGGCAAGCCAATCACCGAAATTCAACAACAGCGTAACAGATGGGTGGAATACTTCGAGGAACTCCTGAATAGGCCGGCTCCAATGAATCCACCGGACATCGAAGCAGCACACATAGATCTTCCTATAGATGTCAACCCACCAACGACGGAAGAAATTAGAATGGCCGTCAGACAAATCAAGAACGGGAAAGCAGCAGGACCCGACAACATACCAGCTGAAGCACTGAAATCAGACATCGAAGCAACCACAAGCATGCTTTACCTTCTATTCAAAAAGATTTGGGAGGAGGAACAAGTGCCGATGGACTGGAAAGAAGGACACCTCGTCAAGATTCCAAAGAAAGGAGATCTGAGCAAATGTGAAAACTACAGAGGCATTACACTACTGTCAATACCAGGGAAAGTCTTCAACAGAGTGTTGCTGAACCGGATGAAGGATGCAGTAGACGCCCAACTTCGAGATCAACAAGCTGGATTCCGTAAGGATCGGTCGTGCACAGACCAAATTGCAACACTACGGATCATCGTCGAACAATCAGTTGAGTGGAACTCATCACTATACATCAACTTCATTGATTATGAAAAGGCATTCGACAGTGTAGATAGGAGGACATTATGGAAACTTCTTCGACACTACGGAGTTCCTGAGAAGATTGTCAACATTATCCGGAACTCATACGACGGACTACAGTGCAAAGTAGTGCATGGAGGACAGCTGACAGATGCATTCCAAGTAAGGACTGGAGTCAGACAAGGCTGTTTACTCTCTCCCTTCCTCTTTCTTCTGGTGGTCGACTGGATTATGAAGACCTCGACATCTGAAGGAAAACACGGAATACAATGGACAGCTCAGAATCAATTAGACGATTTGGACTTCGCAGATGACCTAGCCCTCCTATCACGTACACACGAACAGATGCAGATGAAGACAGCCAGTGTAGCAGCAGTCTCTGCATCAGTAGGCCTCAGCATACACAAAGGGAAAACCAAGGTCCTCAAATTCAAAGCGGAGAACAGCAATCCAATCACTCTTGATGGCGAAACTCTGGAAGATGTAGAATCCTTCACATACCTGGGAAGCATCATCGATGAACAAGGAGGTTCAGATGCAGACGTAAAGGCGAGGATCGGCAAAGCAAGGGTCGCATTCCTACAATTGAAGAACATATGGAACTCAAAACAACTTTCAACCAATATCAAAGTGAGAATCTTCAATACGAACGTCAAGGCAGTTCTACTGTATGGAGCTGAAACTTGGAGAACTACAACAACCACCATCAAGAATGTACAAGTATTTATAAATAGCTGTCTACGCAAGATACTCAACATCCATTGGCCGGATACCATCAGCAACAGCCTTCTGTGAGAGAAAACAAACTAGCTTCCAGTGGAGAAAGAAATTAGGAAAAGACGATGGAAATGGATAGGACATACATTACGCAAATCGTCAAACTGCATCACGAGGCAAGCCCTAACTTGGAATCCTGAAGGGAAGCGGAAAAGAGGAAGGCCAAAGAA